CTTCCTGGCAAATGCAAATCATGAAAGGAGGGGGAGGGAACGGCAAAATCTATGTTTGGAATGCGTAATGCATTCTAATTAGTTCCCTGTTAATCAGAGCAATTACCAGAGGCTATCGCAATACTGAAGGTTGCACTCAGGCCGGTCCTTTGCGATGCGTCTGTCAAAATAATTATCAGCTTGCACTTCACAGAGTCGACACCTTCCTTTTGAGATGAACAACAACAGGCAGCAGCACAGTCATGTTGGGGGTGGATTAATCTGCTCCCCTTTGGAGGAGAGAAGCACAAGCTAGATTTTGATCCTAAAGATGTCAGCACTTCCAATGCTCATTCCCTCAGGTTCTATGATTCATGAACTGCAGTAACCTGGATTCTCCTTCCTCTTAGGTAACATTGCAGTCAACCTGGGCGTGTGTGTTTTCAGTTGTCTTCTACTCATGAGTAGGCCCACTGGAATGGGTGGGCCTAAGTTAGTCAGATTAATCCACCCTCAACATGGGACACGGGTGGCGCTGGGGGTTAAACCACAGAGCCTAGGACTTGCCAATCAGAAGGTTGGCGGTTCGAATGCCCGTGACGGGGTGAGCTCCTCTTGCTCGGGCCCTGCTCCTGCCAACGTAGCAGTTCGAAAGCATGTCAAAGTGCAAGTAGATAAATAGGTACCACTCCGGCAGGAAGATAAACGGCGTTTCCATGCGCTGCTCTGGTTCGCCAGAAGTGGCTTAGTCATGCTGGCCACATGACCCTGAAGCTGTAGGCCGGTTCCCTCGGCCAATAAAGCAAGATGAGCGCCGCAACCCCAGAGTCATCCACGACTGAACCTAATGGTCAGGGGTCCCTTTACCTTTACCTTTAAGTTAGTCATGCCCATCTATTTCAACTGGCCTGCTTTGAGTAAGGCCTCCATCTGCACTATAAATTTAAAGCAGTATTGTTCCACTTTATTTCAATGATTTCTAGACCAAATTAACTCTGGTTTCTAAGCAGTGTACAAAGAGATGTCGAAGATAAAATCAGTTAAGATAGTTTAAGCAGTCATGGCTTCCTCCCGCCCCACCAAAGCATCTTGGGAATCATTGTTTGTTAAGGGTGGCTGGGAGTTGTCCCTCTTCCCTGGGAACTCTGGGAATTGTAGCTCTCTGAGGGGAGTAGCTGGTCTCCTAACAACTCTCAGTTCCCTTAACAAACTCAGGATTTTTTTCAGGGAAACCATGACTGCTTAAAGTGGTAACACAGTCCTTTAAATGCATGGTGTGAATATGACCCTTGTTTCTCAAGTCTGTGAGATCAAAGCTGTTCTATCCCCCATTGGGAGCATGGGACTCCCGACGGCTTCGCTCACAAGGGTCATAGGAACGTGCAAGCCCACTCAGCATGACAAGGTGATGATCCAGCGAGTGAAGCATAGTATAAACACCGACAGCTGGGAAACGCTGGCCTGTGAGTGCTCCAGTTGGAGAACAGCCTTTACCAAAGGTGTTATGCATTTTGAAGACACTCATTTTTTAAAAATTAATATTTTTATTAGGAATTTCAACATAACAATTTATCAAAAATACATCATCCTCATTCTCCCCCCACTTCCCCCATCCCTCTCCCCCCCCCCAAAAAACCCCAACCAGACTTCCCTCAGCTCCTCTCTCTGGTTTCTCAGCACATGTTATTCTCTGTATGTTATAAAATTGTAAAGATCCTCAATTTATCTATCTGTATATTACCAATAAAGAGTTTGTGAATGTTTATTCAAAATCTGCCAAGGAGTCCAGTTCATTTTGTTGTTTCTTTAAATACTTCGTAAAAGGTTCCCATTCTTCTTTAAAGTCACAGTTATCCTTGTCACGTAGTTTATGTGTCAGTTTCGCCAATTCCACATAGTCCATCAGTTTCTCTTGCCACAGTTCTTTAGTTGGGATTTCCTCATTCTTCCATGGACTTTGAAGACACTCAAACTCAGGACGCAAGGGAGAAACGTGCCAAGAGGAAGGCAGGTTTGGCAAACCTTCACTGTGATCAACTCCCGCCCGGAAACCTATGTCCCCGCTGTGGAAAGACGTGTGGATCCAGAATTGGCCTCCACAGTCACTTACGGACTCACTGCTAAAACCCTGTTTTGGAAGACAGTCTTACTCAGCTACAAGGAAGATCGCCAAGGAAGAAGGAGAATGCCCCATTGATATGCCCCAGAGGTGTGCATAGGCTATATTAGAAACCAGGCTTTGTGTTGCTGTCCTAGTTCAATTACCAGCCAGATTCAGGCAGGTGCTTACCATGATGGTGTCTAGGTGCCTACCAAAGCCATTTTTAGTTTAGGAAGGCCTTCCCTGAAGTGCAACCCAGTCATTTATGGAAGATCAATTTTATAACTGATGAAATTGTTTTGTTGCTCTTTGAGTTTGATTGGATGGTTTTATTGTTTGCTGAATTGGTTTCATTCTTCTCAGAGCTGGAGCTTGATTCTGCCTTTACCGTGTGCTTTGATGGCTTTGTGTTGGGAATGCGGAATTTGCTTGACAGATGAATATATTAAAAACCAGTCATTTTAAGGAGGCAGTCCTATGTGCTTACCTGGGAGCAAGTCCAGTTGAAGTAAGTGAGGCATCCTTCCAAGCAGATATGCACAGGATTCTACTGCTAGTGATTTTCATGATCACCTTATGCCTAGAGTAAGACCAATGAGACCAAACAGCTATACAGTGGTACCTCGGGTTTACTTAATTCGTTCCGGAGGTCCATACTTAACCTGAAACTGTTCTTAACCTGAAGCACCACTTTAGCTAATGGGGCCTCCTGCTGCTGCCGAGCCATTGGAGCACGATTTCTGTTCTCATCCTGAAGCAAAGTTCTTAACCTGAAGCAAAGTTCTTAACCTGAAGCACTATTTCTGGGTTAGGCGAGTCTGTAACCTGAAATGTATGTAACCTGAAACGTATGTAACCTGAGGTACCACTGTAAACTGAAATCTTTTGACTTGAGTGCATGAGATTATGTCAGTTGGGTGCTAACTTCCCATTATAAGTGTCAGTTTCTATATCTTAGTACAGAAAGTATTGATCTGATGTGTAGAGATCTGCCCTATTCTACTTAATTCAAGAGAGTTCCGGAAGCTTCCAAAAGCTTCTCTGTGTAAAAGAAAGAAGCAGAAGTTTCGTGATGTTTGGGTTATTCCTTCAGAGAAGCTGAGTACAGCTGGTTTAAACTGGTCCTGTTATCTCTTCTGTCAAGGTCTTGCTGACTATAAAAGTAAGGCCAGAAGGAGCCTGGGTTTTCACTTTCCTTCTGGTGTGCTGTTCTGTTTAAAGTGTTATAGTTTAGACTTATTATAAGTAATTGTAAGTTTAAGTCTGCTGCAACTGGATTTCTTATGGACTGTGCCAATCCTAAATGTTTTGAATTTGTAACCATTATGCTCATTTGCCTTCAGTAGCAGTAAAGCACTGCTGGATGAAATCTTAATTGCCTCTGGTCTATTTTTTGGCAATCCTGCAACGTGTTTAAGTTGTTACTCTGCTAACTATACACTGGGATCTACTCTGGATCAATACTGAGTAGAATTCCATGACAATAAGTGCAAAGGGTAAGCCCTGAGGATTTCTTCTTCCTAGGATGTTTCTGGTGCGCCTGCTGGACAGCTACAGATGGCCTAATTCCCATCTGGATTTTAACATTTACGTGAGTTTCCGGCAAAGGGAGACCCATGTGCCCACACAGCTCCATCTGTCAAGGAATATTTATATGCATCCGTCATCCTGGACTATCCAATTTGGAGGGCCACAGCTTAATGGCAGAGCATCCGTTTTGCGCACAGGACGTCCCAGGTTCAGTCCCCAGGAAGAGTTGGGAGAGAGCCCTCTCTGAAACCCTGGACATATGCTGCCAAACAGTGTGCACAATACTGAGTTGGATGGGCCAGCAGTCTGACTCGGAGTCAGGGAATGGTCTGAAGACAAGGACTGGGGAATAATAATAATAATAATAATAATAATAATAATAATTTATTTATATCCCGCCCTCCCCAGCCAAAGCCGGGCTCAGAGCTGCTAACAACAATAAAAGTAACACAGCATTCTAAAATCAATTCAAAATCAAATTAATGGCAACCATTGGGCTAGAGTTCTATGAGGATTACCAAAGGACGGTGCCTTGGCCAAAGGCCTGGTGGAACAGCTCTGTCTTGTGGGCCCTGCGGAAAGATGTCAAGTCCCGCAGGGCCCTAGGCTCTTGTGACAGAGTGTTCCACCAGATCGGGGCCACAGCCAAAAAAGCCCTGGCTCTGAATGTATCCTATGGCAGACCATCTTCTGATGGAGAGCTGGAGGGGGGATAGTTGCCCCCTCCCTGTCCACAGCGTGTTCAGAAAAAGAGAGAGAGACGGAAGCTGAACAGCTTAGGGAGGAGTTACCCAGTTATGATATACAGTGGTACCTCGGGTTAAGTACTTAATTCGTTCCAGAGGTCCATTCTTAACCTGAAACTGTTCTTAACCTGAAGCACCACTTTAGCTAATGGGTCCTCCCGCTGCTGCCGTGCTGCCGGAGCACGATTTCTGTTCTCATCCTGAAGCAAAGTTCTTAACCCGAGGTAATATTTCTGGGTTAGTGGAGTCTGTAACCTGAAGCATATGTAACCCGAGGTACCACTGTAATGACAAGGGAACCGGAAGGGAGGGGGGCAGCTAATGGAGACATCACTTGAGAGTGTGGGGGACCCCCTCCCTCACCACGGACTCGGAGGTCCGAACGTATCAGAGAGCAAAGGAGTCAGAGGGAGGGAGGAACTTCTCATTGGCTCCCAAAATGCTGCGGAAGTCAGAAGGAGGGTTTAGAGCGGGCATGGCCAAACTTGGCCCCCCAGCTGTTTTGGGACTACAGTTCCCATCATCCCTGACCACTGGTCCTGTTAGCTAGAGATGATGGGAGTTTTAGTCCCAAAACAGCTGGAGGGCCAAGTTTGGCCATGCCTGGTTTAGAGGCGCCATCTTGCAGAGAGCTGTGTATTTGTGCTTGCAACATGGCGCTGTAGTAAAAGGACTATAAATTTATCAACCGCTCGTTAATTCTTATCTGTGAAGTTACTGGAGGGAGGGGAGGACTCTCCATGCCTGACACTGGGCATAAGGCAGCTTTCCATGTTCCCAGGAGCCTATTCATACTCGTATCTCTCCACAGAGCTCAAGGCAGCCTCTATGGGGATTGTCTTATTTTATTTTCAAAGCTGACAAAGTGTTCTGCGATGCTGCCCAGTCAACCCCATCTTGTCCTTATCTAGGGGTGCCACCAATAGCAAAGATGCTGGAGGGTTGGACTAACGCCAATCCTACAGTCAGGAACTGAGGACTACCACCCCATGAGTTTAGCAGCCTAGTGTCGGATACTGTAAGCAGCTGCCTCATGTGGTGAATCACTAAACAGAAGGTGTCAGAACCCTTCCAGACCTGGTAAAACCCACCCACCCAGGTGTGGGAATGTTGTGGATAGTAGGAGAGGATATATTGATTAAATATTATCCTTCCTCACTCACACTAGCGAGTCATATAGCAGAGCTCATTCCCCTTTACACAGCAGGAAGCTAGTTTGCAGATTCATTTGAATCTCTTTAGTTAAGCATTCCAATCTGGCATGCCCAAATTAGAGTTTATTCCTTGTAAGTCCCCTTTTGTTCCCTCTTTAAATAGAAGTAAAGACACAACAGTCTTTCCTTACAGAGTAACAGGAAGTTTACTTACATTCAGTTCACAGTATGATCCCTGAAGGCAGGCTTTAGCTCAGACTTCCTCAACCTCGGCCCTCCAGATGTTTTGAGACTACAATTCCCATCATCCCTGACCACTGGTCCTGCTAGCTAGGGCTCATGGGAGCTGTAGGCCAAAAACATCTGGAAGGCTGAGGTTGAGGAAGCCTGCTTTAGCTTGTAGTTACAGAAGGTGTGGATTCATCCCATATAGGCATTTATCCCAGTGCAGTCCAAGAGAAGAAATGGCATCAAAAGAGGAAGATGGCTGCGTGACTGGCCCCTTTGTAGGGTCTGCCAAGGTCACGCCCACCTACCTGGTCACATACAGGGAGAAGATGCTCCAGACCAGGTATAACAGGAAGTTCAACTGGGTGGAGTAACATCCCCCTGCCTGTGTCCACTCTAGGGAAACAAGGAATGTTGTATTTGACTGCTCTAATGGGTTACATCCCACACCAAATTGGCCATTTGAGCATTCTGGGTAGAAAAAAGCTGAGCCTTCAATTGTCTCTTGCTCTTCTGTCCCGACTCCATGTTTGTTCTCTGATTCTGCCTTCTAGCTATAGTCCTCTAATTCTGATTGCACTTTCTTCCTGAGGGCTCGTCAGTCTCGAGTTGCAGTTCTTAGTTCCTGGCGTGTTCAGGAACGCTGCACAACACCCAGCCCTGACACAGGAAAGAGACTGTCCTAAAACCCAAATGCCCTGCACTATAGAACTCCTGGATGTGCTTAAGTCAATCACAACCCACTTAATCCTGACTCAGTCAGAGCAGCATTCTGCCATTCACTGCCATAGCATCTGTGTGCTAATCACTTTATGGGGCATGTTCCCAAAAGGCGGATTATGAATCCTATAAACAAACAAAGAAATAAATCCTGAGTTACTTCGTAACATTTTCTACTAGCATTTTTTAAATGGTTGCTCGGCAGACTTCTGAAACGGTAAGAATGTAAACAGGAAACGTTTCACAAGAGCACGGTAAGAAAAAGAACAACAAAAATTAATCTCCCTTACAAATGGCTAAAGAAGTCCCACTGACAACTTGTGCTCCCCCAAACTTCTAATCGCTTTGTGGAACACTTCTTTCTGAGTTAAAATTGGAATGAAAGGTTTACAAGAAGAATGTGCACGGCCCCCAAAATGTCTATAGGCGAGTGAGAGACAAATCTTAATTCAGCGCAAAGCCTTTCGGGTGAAACAAATAATCTTTTAATCACACTGAACTGTCAGATTATGAGACAGGTGTATATCCTATAAAACACAAATGTATCATGTTCTGTTATGTGTAAAAATGTGATCCGACTTTTAGGAGACACCTGACAGCAGCCTTGTTTAGGGAAGTTTTTAACGTTCGAAGTTTTATTCTGTTTTTAATGTTCTGTTGAAAGCCGCCCAGAGTGGCTGGAGAAACCCAGTCAGATGGGAAGAGTAGAAATACTAAATAATTGTTGTTGTTGTTGTTGTTGTTGTTGTTGTTGTCATCATCACCATCATCATCTATATTGCACATTCTGTGGACTCCACTGGCTTTGCATGGAGAGAGAGAGCTCTTCCACTCAGATCCTGTCCATTGTAGGTAACTGGCTGGCCACTGTAAAGCCACTTCCGAGTTCGAGAGGAGGTTGGGTTGCGGGCTTCACGCCCTCCCCACGTGCGCGGGGGCTGGCTCCCAGCCTCCACACCATTGAGGGAATCCTTGGCCGCGTCATCTCCCTAGCCAGCCAATCAACTGGCCTGGGGGAGGCGTGGTTTGCGCTATTTAGCATTGACGCGGCCAAGGATCTCCCTCTTTTGCCGCCATAGCTCCTCTGGTGTCCCACCCACCCGCCCTTTAGGTTTCATAAGACCTTGCTATGGACTTTGGTTGGTCGCTGTCAAGGGGCCTGGTTGCAATTTTTCCACTTGGCAAATTGGCACCAGCCACTTGGCTTTTTCGCCTACCTCGTAGCAAATCATCACAACTTCCTGGGATGGGCGGTTAGGCATTGGTAGGGGTATTGTTATGTAGATGAAGGGGGGGAGGAAGCGACATCACCTCCCCTGGATTGCGAAGGGTAGTCCGGTAAAGGATTCTGGGGGGCGTGGCCCTGTCCGAAGCCTATGGAGGTGAGGGCCTAAGGCACGCCCCCAAGCGGTGACCCCGGGGGAGTTCCTAGTTGATGTGCATCAGCAGGACTCCCCCTACTGGCAGTTAACCCTTCCCGGTCTTCAAGCAAACAGGCTGAAGCCGGATAGTCGGTAGGACCAATGCCTAAGCCAATACCGCTCATCACCTGTAACCAATAAAGCTGTGGCCATTTTTAGCCCATTAACCTAAATACTTGTGTCATGTGTCGTTATTTCCACCAAGGGGAGGCGGGAACTCGCCACGCAAGACCAGGATGCTAGACTAGATGAGCCTTTCACCTGATCTGTAATCTGGAGCGAGCCTTTCAGACATGTTAATGCAGCCAGCGGTGAATGTGCAGTTGTGGACCAGCTCTACAGCTGTTTAGGAATTCATAAAAACTGGTTCCAGGTCAGTTGTCTTCAAACAGGACTTCATCAACTTTCACATCATTTTCAGACGCAGGGACCACGTCACATACTTGTTCTTTAAAAGCCAAGGCGATTGTGTAAGGTTTTCCTTTGGGATGCTGTCTGCACCTGTTCAGGTATGTATCATAGTACCCCTTTCCTCTTCCCAGTCTGTTGCCGGTTTGGTCAAAACCAAGTCCTGGCACGAGGATGAGATCCAGACCCTCTGTTGAAGAGAGAACATAAAAACATACATTTTGAGTGAAACAGTACTGACTTCACCAACTCATTTCCTTTTTATTTATTCAGGAAGGGTGGCATATATTGACGCGTGCACAGACCTCAAGATTTGCCTTATAGCTATGTTGTTTTAAATTCTCATCTGTTTCTGAGTTGTTTTGTGGGCTCTCTGCTTCGATCTGCAGTTCTGCTCCTGAGGCACGCTGTGTAAAAAAAAAGCTCTCTGGTTCCCCATTCACTAGAATGGGGAAATCTAAAAGCAGCTATGACTTAAGAGTGGGGGAAATGAAAAGTTTGAGAGAAACCGAAATTGTACCACCCCCTCCCATGTACAGAAACCAACTTGAGGGGCAGTAGAAGTTTACTCCCAATACTGGTGATGGGACAGTGTCCTCAAGCACAGCTGAGGGCAGCAAGCTAGCTCTGCTCTCATGTTAGGGACTGATGGGTTCTTCTGATCTGTGTCAATTATGTATGTGTTCACTCACAGGTCTATTCCATACAGATTTTTTTGTTGTGGATTTTTTTTTTTAATGCATAAAAATTGCATCAATTATTATTATTATTACAATGGTACCTCGGGTTAAGAACTTAATTCGTTCTGGAGGTCTGTCCTTAACCTGAAACTGTTCTTCACCTGAAGCACCACTGTAGCTAATGGGGCCTCCTGCTGCCGCTGCACTGCCACTGCACGATTTCTGTTCTCATCCTGAAGCAAAGTTCTAAACCCGAGGTACTATTTCTGGGTTAGCGGAGTCTGTAACCTGAAGCGTATGTAACCAGAGGTACCACTGTACAGTCATACCTTGGTTTTAGAACAGCTTAGTTCATGAACTCAGAACTCGAATGGCGTAAACCCAGAAGTAGGTGTTCCGGTTTGTGGACTGACTTTGCCTTGGAAGCTGAATGTCCGGCGCAGCTTCCAATTGGCTGCAGGACGCTCCTGCAGCCAGTCAGAAGCCATGGCTTGGTTTCCGAACACTTCGGAAGTTGAACAGACTTCCAGAATGCATTCTGTTTGAAAACCAAGGTATAACTGTATTATTATTATTATTATTACTACAGTGGTGCCTCAGTTTAAGAACAGTCCAGTTTAAGAATGATTTGGTTTACAAACTCCACAAAACCGGAAATAGTGTCTTGGTTTGAGAACTTTACTTTGGTCTGAGAATGGAATCCAAACGGTGGAAGGGCACCAGTGGCAGGAGGCCTCATTAGGGAAAGCATGCCTCGGTTTAAGAACAGTTTTGGTTTAAGAACAGACTTCCGGAACAGATTAAGTTTGTAAACTGAGATACCACTGTATTATTATTAATAATAATTGAATTTATATACTGCCCTTTACCCAGAGGTCTCAGGGCAGTTCACAGAACCAAATCAAAATATATACTGTATTTTTTGCTCTATAAGACTCACTTTTTCCCTCCTAAACAGTAAGGGGAAATGTGTGTGCAGCTTATGGAGCGAATGCAGGCTGCGCAGCTATCCCAGAAGCCAGAACAGCAAGAGGGATTGCTGCTTTCACTGCACAGCGATCCCACTTGCTGTTCTGGCTTCTGAGATTCAGAATATTTTTTTTCTTGTTTTCCTCCTCCAAAAACTAGGTGCGTCTTGTGGTCTGGTGCGTCTTATAGAGCGAAAAATACGGTATTCAAAATAAAAACAACAACCCAATTAAAAAAAACTTCAAAAAAACACACCAAACACCACCACATTTTAAAAGGGCATAGGATGTCAATCAAATCAACCAAAGGCCTGGTTTAAAAGGATCACTGTAGGCATTTTGTACACATTCTTCCTCTAAAATAACCCTTTTTAAAGTAAACTGCACCATGAAATTCAGAGAGCGGAACAGAAGCACGGAAAGCTCACTTGTACAGAGTCAGACCATTGGAAGAAGAAGAAGAGTTTGGATTTGATAACCCACTTTATCACTACCCGAAGGAGTCTCAAAGCGGCTAACATTCTCCTTTCCCTTCCTCCCCACAACAAACACCCTGTGAGGTGAGTGAGGCTGAGAGACTTCAGGGAAGTGTGACTAGCCCAAGGTCACCCAGCAGCTGCAGGTGGAGGAGCGGGGAAGCGAACTCGGTTCCCCAGATTACGAGACTACCACTCTTAACCACTGTACCACACTGGAGTACCTTTACGTTAACTACCGGTAGATGGGCCAGTGGTCTGATGTGGTATATAAAGTCTGCTGCTATGATGCCAGCTGTGAAGACATTATTTAAAAACAGCAAAGGTGTATGTGTGAGTATAGAAACACACACACAGTGCTATCATTCTCAATCATGCTGATTCATTTGAATCATTAACAACACTTACGCTTAGCTAGGATTTCTTTAACTGGTTTGAAATCCTAGATATATGCACTATAATTCACATTTCAATCACATAAAGGTTACAAGTGATTGGTAAACAATATGGATGTAGAAACAACTAAGCAATCTCTTAAGGATAATTTCCACGTTCCTGGTACTTCTCTTTAATTCCGCTTTTCTCTCTTGATATTAGTGTGTGCTGCTGGGCCAGGGCACTTTTATGATTGTTTCTTCCACTATTTGGTTTTAATTCGTCCAAGCAGGCTCATATCCCTGACTCGCTTTCTTTTTTAAAAATTACAAACTAGGATTGCTTCGCTGCGGGCGCCTTTCCCCTCCTGCTCAAGCTTTTCACAGGTATAATTATTTTTGCAGTTGATCTATTATGCAATCAATAAGATGAAAACTCGGCTTGTGCAGTTAATAATAATCAAGATTCTACCCCGACTTTCTTTTTAATAGAAGAAAGGAAACATCTGGTAGCTCTACAACACTGCAGCATTTTAACTATAGGCTGGTTAATTTGGACTGCAGCATAAGGGATAAAAGAAAAATAGGATTCATTATAGATTGGGGCCCTGGCTGGGACACTTCTCCAACCCAGAATATATGCCTGTCAGTGTCATCATGGGCTCACAGGACGACAGCATACTGGATGAGGACCAATACTCTTAAATTTACCCTTGCCTTAGAAAACTGAAGAACTGATTTGGGTGTCCTCCCTGCAATACAGTCGTACCTTGGTTCTCGAACTTAATCCGTTCCAGGAGTCCATTTGACTCCAGAAACGTTTCGAAAACCAAGGCACAGCTTCCGATTGGCTGCAGGAGCTTCCTGCACTCAATCGGAAGCCGCATCGGACATTTGGCTTCCAGAAAACGTTCAAAAACCGGAACACTTACTTCTGGGTTTTCAGAGTTGGGGAACCAAAACGTCTGAGTACCAAGGCATTCAAGAACCAAGGTACGACTGTATATTGAATGGATTGTGATTTGGAGGCTATGAATGGGGTTCTTGTTTTTACGGTTTTTATCGTGCTCTGTATCATAGAATCATAAGATTGTAGACCTGGAAGGAACCACCAGATCATCTACATAGTACAACCCCCTGCGACCTTTTACCCTGTGCTTTTTTTCTTTAAAAATGATGTTTAGGGGTACTCTCATTTTGACTCAAGAAAATCACCATTTTATAGTTCAAATCGGGAAAAGTAAATACAGTAAATGGACAGAAGCACAAAAAAAATCACAAAATGTTTAGGGGGTATGCGTACCCCTGCGTACCCCCAGGAAAAAAGCACTGCTTTTACCCAAGGCAAGACTCAAACCCACAACTCTCAGATTAAGAGCCAGTGTGGTTAAGAGCGGTAGTCTCGTAATCTGGTGAACCGAGTTCGCATCTCCACTCCTCCACATGCAGCTGCTGGGTGACCTTGGGCTAGTCACACTTCTCTGAAGTCTCTCAGCCCCACTCACCTCACAGAGTTTTTGTTGTGGGGGAGGAAGGGAAAGGAGAATGTTAGTCACTTTGAGACTCCTTCGGGTAGTGATAATGCGTGATATCAAATCCAAACTCTTCTCCTTAAGAGTTTCAAGCTCTACTGACTTAGCTATTCAGTAGTAGTTGAAGAGGAGGAGGAGGAGTTTGGACTTGATATCCCGCCTTTCACTCCCCTTAAGGATGTGCATGTGGAGGAGCGGGGAAGTGAACCCGGTTCACCAGATTACGAGTCCACCGCTCTTTACCACTACACCACACTGGCTCTCAGTAACACTGTGGTGTCCATCTTCCCAACACCACCATTTGCTTGTGTGTGTCTGTCCCGTCTCCCACCCCCAACACAACTGTTGCTTTCTTGGTGCAAAATAGCATTTCGGGGGCTGGAGGGAATTCTGCGCAAAGAGGGAAACAATAGCAGGGAAAAGGAAGAGTGAAGTCTGGGTGTTTTCTTGGCTTGAATTGCATGTTTGCACTCAGGGGCTGAGGTTTTGCTGGCCATCGGGCTTTCAGACGTTGATTCATGCCTCTGCCAGGGAGAAGAAGGGAACCGGCTGCCGTCCTGAACCGCTGCCAAGCTTAAAGGCAACCATTGTGCCGATCTGCTATTTTTGTTCCGATATGGAGTGGGAATCGCCAAGGGGACATTTGAAACAAATGAGCCTGCGGTGGCTGTGCAACCCTTTGGAACGAACCTCATCATCTTACTTGTTAGTTTTTGCAGAGGAGAGAAACTTCAGGAACTTTTATTCGCTGGGGGGATGGATGTAGGAGCAAAAGCACTGTATTTCATTACGAAAAGAAGAGAGCCTGTTTCTGATGGTCGGTGTACGCTCTTGCTGAACCTGCTGTGTACAAGTAGAAAAGTGGGAAGGGAGTTGCTGGCTATTCCTGTCATTTGGTTAAGAGATACCCTGGGATATTCATGGCCTGTTAGTAAGCTTTAGGCTCACTTAGTTTTCTTTGATATGCTTTAAACGAATTGCTATTTCTTAATTAAGCGGTATATACGTCTTGTTAATTAATTCTATCCTCTTGCTGATAACACTTCAAACATCTGACAAAGTGGGCTTTTGTCCACATAGGCTCACACCACAATAAATCTTGTTTGTCTTTAAGGTGCCATGAAACTCTTGGCTGTATGTGTGTGTTTTTGCTCATTCAGATGCCAATGATATGATACTGATAAAACCTCATTGATGTGGGCCTGTTGTATAGCGTCCTCTTTTGGGTGAAATATTATTGTTCATATTAACTTTGCTTTGGAAACAATCCTTGACATTTGTGGGTGCTCATACGCTTCTAAATTATATTCCTGCGATGTGGAGACTAACAGATGCAGAGCAAATGTGGAAGCTGTTTCAAAGTTGGAAGGGTAAATAATCTGAACATATTACTGTCCTTTCTACATTTGAATGTATCTAGTATATATTAGGTAAAGGTAAAGGGACCCCTGACCATTAGGTCCAGTCGTGACCGACTCTGGGGTTGCGGCGCTCATCTCGCTTTATTGGCCGAGGGAGCCGGTGTACAGCTTCTGGGTCATGTGGCCAGCATGACTAAGCCGCTTTTGGCAGGCCAGAGCAGTGTATGGAAACGCCGTTTACCTTCCCGTCGGAGCAGTACCTATTTATCTACTTGCACTCTGACATGCTTTCAAACTGCTAGGTGGGCAGGAGCAGGGACCAAGCAACGGGAGCTCACCCCGTCGCGGGGATTCGAACCACCGACCTTCTGATCGGCAAGTCCTAGGCTCTGTGGTTTAACCCACAGCACCACCCACGTCCCTTCAGTATATATTAAGGTTGCCTAATTAGGGACGTGGGTGGTGCTGTGGTCTAAACCACTGAGCCCTCGGGCTTGCTGATTGGAAGGTCGGTGGTTCAAATCCCCGTGACGAGGTGAGCTCCCGTTGCTATGTCCCAGCTCCTGCCAACCTAGCAGTTCGAAAGCATGCTAGTAGATAAATAGGTACTGCTGTGGCGGAAATGTAAACAGCATTTCCGTGTGCTCTGGCTTCTGTTAGTGTTCCGCTGCGCCAGAAGCAATTTAGTCCTGCTGGCCACATGACCCAGAAAGCTGTCTGTGGACAAACGACAGCTCCCTTGACCTGAAAGTGAGATGAGCGACCACAATCCCATAGTCACCTTTGACTGGACTTAACCGTCCAGGGGTCCTTTACCTTTATTTCAAACAGTTACAAATCCGGACAGTTGTTGAGCTTTTGGGACAAAATCGCATTTAAAAATGCCATTTCTGAGCTTTTATATGGAAATACGGCAAAAACGGCACTGCCAAATGTCCAGATTTCCCCCAGACATTTGTAAGATTTCCAACAGGGCACTGCTGCCGACGGCAGTATTCCATATATATGTCTGGGAAAATCTGGACGTATGGCAATGACCTAGTATATATTTTTGAAAATTCTTTGTTTCCTATGCGTCTGGACACCTTTGAAGGAATCGTAACCCAATTCTGTATACAGTGGTACCTCAGGTTAAGTACTTAATTCGTTCCGGAGGTCCGTTCTTAACCTGAAACTATTCTTAACCTGAAGCACCACTTTAGCTAATGGGGCCTCCTGCTGCCGCTGCGCCGCCAGAGCACGATTCCTGTTCTCATCCTGAAGCAAAGTTCTTAACCCAAGGTACTATTTCTGAGTTAGCGGAGTCTGTAACCTGAAGCATCTGTAACCTGAAGCATATGTAACCCGAGGTACCACTATAATAGTTCCTGAGATCAAGTGGAAGGATTTCATCTCTTCTGGAGACAATTGGATTAACACGATGGACTGAACCTTTCATAACTACACATTTTTTTGGGGGGGGGTTTAGAATTCCCAAGCAACGCCAGGTATGAAGCTGTTAGTATTTATCTATGTTAGTATCTATCAGGGCATATGGTCTGCTGACATTAATATATGTTTAAATTGGAGTTGACAGGTTATTTTTTACTGTCAATATGGACTGATGTGGTATCTTCCTGTTATATTTGCAACAGAAATCTAGCACTAGCTTCCCCGTCTCTGCTCTGCTCTTCCCTCCCCAATCTTTTTGTTTAATGTCTCCAGTCTGGAGTAAATTGTTTCCTCTCACTTAATTATTTGAGGCTTCTGACTGGGAGATGCAATTTATTCGTATATTGGTATCAGTGGCGGTTGGATGGGTGTTGGATATGTAGTTACTGCCGGGGCCTCCTCACAGCTCCTGCCAAAGCTTCTTGTGCTTATCTGAACAGAAAATGCAGAAATAAAATAAACGTAAATGTATTATTTTTCAAGTAATAACAGAGCCCAGATCTGCAATATCCTTGAAAGGTCTAAATATTTCAATATGTCTGGTGCTGATCTTGTGAGTCCAAAGTGTGGGAACACTTCAGACTGCACGGCCATGTTCCCTCATAGGTAATCTTCCAGGGACCATATGCCATTGGCAGACGGGGTAGAGGCAACAAATAGTTGGAGCAATGGATGTGACTTATTACCATCTGTACCTTTTTACATTTAAAGCACATCCTTTCCCCCAAAGAATTATGGGAATGATAGCTTTTCCCTCACAAAGCTATTTGTTGTTGTTGTTTAGTCATTTAGTTGTGTCCGACTCTTCGTGACCCCATGGACCAGAGCACGCCAGGCCCTCCTGTCTTCCACTGCCTCCCGCAGTTTGGTCAAATTCATGCTGGTAGCTTCCAGAACACTATCCAACCATCTCATCCTCTGTCATTCCCTTCTCCTTGTTCCCTCCATCTTTCCCAGCATCAGGGTCTTTTCCAGGGAGTCTTCTCTTCTCATGAGGTGGCCACAGTATTGGCGCCTCAGCTTCACAATCTGTCCTTCCAGTGAGCACTCAGGGCTGATTTCCTTAAGAATGGATAGGTTTGATCTTCTTGCAGTCCATGGGACTCTCAAGAGTCTCCTCCAGCACCATAATTCAAAAGCATCAATTCTTCGGCGATCAGCCTTCTTTATGGTCCAGCTCTCACTTCCATACATCACTACTGGGAAAACCATAGCTTTTACTATACGGACCTTTGTTGGCAAAGCTATAGTTCTCAGCAAAATATAAAACACTATAGCGTCCAGAATTCTTGACTAAGATGTTTTTAAAACACTCTAACCAGCCAGTGCAACCCTCTGCCTGTCTACTCAGAAGTAAGATCCGCTGAATGCAATGGTTTGTGCTTGAAATACGGCAGCAAGGTGTCAAAGGCAAACATACAGTTAGCAGGGCAAACGAGAAGTTGCAGGAATTCATGATTGAATAAATGTGCAAATGTAGCCTTAAATAAATAGCGTTCTGAATAAATATTGAAACAATACTTCGGAGGTTGGGGTGGGGGGGGAAGGCCCTCTAAGAAAATAAATCCTCAGAGTTTGCAAATGAGCAGCACATTTTCTACCTAAATTTGCTTCCTGCATATAGACCAGAAATTGTCAAACACTCAAAATCAAATATAGACTATTGCTCCAGCTCTGCTTTAGAGATGGCATATTAAGTTTGAAACAGCCACCCAATGGAATGGCAGACATTGATACACTGAGGTGCCATCTTTGCCAAGAACTTGCCCCATCTAGTATAACAAAAAGCAAGTTAAATTTCTCTGCCATACTATCTCAAAAATAAAGTGGATTTATTCTTTTGTCTTTCTATTGCAAAGCAACAGTATTGGATTGGCAAAGCAAGCCCGTTTGCTGGGGACAGATATAGCTAATCATTATATATATATATATATATATATATATATATATATATATTCCATGTTAGACATGTTTTTTGTACTTTAATTTTTCCAAACAGACTTTTAGGAAGCTGCCCTTAGACCCGATCAGTATTCTCTGTTCCGGGGCTGGAGAACATCTCCAGATGTTGGACTCCATCAGTCCCAGGAAGCATAGTCAACCATCAGGAATTGGGAGTCCAGCAAGCCTGGAGAGGACCACAAGTTCTCCATCTCTGGTCATCTCTCCCTGACACTCCAAAGGCTCGGGAATACTTTCCTTCCCCATCAGCTTTTAGCAGGAGATGTTGGGGATTGAATATGGGACCTTCTGCATGCAAAACTCTACAACTTACCTTCAACCTTCGACATGCAAAGCAGGTGCTCTGGCACTCAGCTGTGCCCTCATGCATGCAAGGCAAATGCCGTACCACTCAACTATCTCCTTCTACTTGCAGTTCAGGTGCAACACCAATAAGCTACAGTTCCTCCCATAGGTGACCTCCACATAGGTGATCGGTCCAGCAGAAACACTCAAGAACTCTCCCTCTGGAGTGTATCTGTGTCAGAGACATGGCTGAATCAAACGCCTGGGAAGAGGCTGATTCTGGAGACAAGGGAATGCAGACAGAGCAGGAGTGGGTTAGTTTGGGCCTCCTTCAATGAGAGTTCCCAGACTCAGATAAAGCAGCAGACTCGGAAAGCTCACAGGCAGAGGAGGAGGAGGAGATAGATGGCATTGAGAGGGTTGCTATGCAACCAGGAGGGAGGCAGAGTTTAGAGGGCTCTTCGTTTGAGAGAGGAAGGGGAGTCCACCCCCCTTCTCCCTGAACCAGAAGAGCTGAAAGGGTCAAAATGCAACGGAAGTACAAGAGCGGAAGGACTGGACTTTGGCGCCTTTCATGCTGCGAAAGGGGCGGAGACTCAGAGTGACCAACTCGTAGCTAAGAACGGCAGGCACATTCTCTGGGAGTGAATTGTAAACAAACATACCATAAAACTGCCAGAGACTCGTTAATTCTTTTCAGAGCTTGCTTGCCTGCCTGAGATCATTACAATCTGTAAGCGGTCTTCCTAGAAAATGAGGGTAGTCAGCAGAATGCGCAAGTAGGTTCCAGGTAACAGAGCCCTATCCCTCTCTTCCTCTGTGTCAGAGATATGTGTCAGCATGAAGAATTTACCTTCCTGACCCACATTTGCCCTCCTGAACAAAAAAGCATGATTCTCCCTTGGATGGATACAAGTCATAAAGGTTTAAGGCAAAGGAATACTGATAATTCATCACCTAACAGAAGCAAAGCAGAGGCATATGCTAACAACTATTCTTCCTGCAGCTTCCACTCCTTTCAGGTCTGTTGGGATTTGATAGCTCTTGTTCAATTCTCTCTCTCTCTCTCTCTCTCTCTCTCTCTCTCCTTCCTTCCTCTATTTCTGTTCCCCCAAAGCTTCACTTGCAACAATGTCCACTTTAAGGCAAAGGATAAAGGATGAATGTGTTGGGGGGGAGTGACGATGCATTTTGGAATGAATTTATATTAATTTTTGTATGCACTTTTCACCAACGGACATGTTTTTACAAGCAATTTCTCCTCACAGAATGCATTTTTTGCATGCCGTTTTCACCAATATATAAAATATATGCATAATACTTTTTTAAAACGCTGTTTAGTTGGACAACTGCATAGCAAATTTCAGGTAAGTGCAGATTTCAAAGGATGGCCATGCTTCAGTTTCCACATTGTTTCAGAAAGTGTGGTTGTGATAAATTTGGCTTTAAGTGAGAACTGAGCTAAATTCCATCCCTACTTTTGAGAAAAGTTGTGTATGTTTAACCTGCAGACGAGATGATTAAGAGGCAACAGGTCAGTAGGGCTAGATGATATATTGATATATCATCCAAAACCAGTTTCAAGTCCGTATCATGGTATATTGGTTTCATATTTTTTGACCTGTGAATAGATTACGAATCGTGTGTGTGTGTGTTGTGTGCTATGCAAAATGTGAGGGAAACCGTGAAGCCAGCCAATTCCTCTTCACAGCCCCCTCCTTATTTCAGACATTGTGATGAATTGGTATATTGCGATGTTCAGATGGGGATATATTGCGATGATGAAAATCAGATATTGCCCAGCCTTACAGGGCAGCTAGCTTCAAAATAATTGGAAAGGCAGAAAGCAGATTGGGATCTAGCGGTAGTGGGTAGAAAAAGGTAAAAAAATGTAAAGGGACCCCTGGGCGGTTACGTCCAGCCAAAGATGACTATGAGGTTGCGGCGCTCATCTCACATTCAGGCCTAGGGAGCCGGCATTTGTCCACAGACAGCTTTCTGGGTCATATGGCCAGCAGGACTAAACCACTTCTGGCGCAACTGAACACCGTGACAGAAACCAGAGCACACAGAAACACTGTTTACCTTCCTGTCACAGTGGTACCTATTTATCTACTTGAACTGGCATGCTTTCGAACTGCTGGGTTGGCAGGAGCTAGGACAGAGCAATGGGAGCTCGCTCCGTTATGGGGATTCGAACCGCCAACCTTCTGATCGGCAAGCCCAAGAGGCTCAATGGTTTAGACCACAGCGCCACCCGCGTCCACAAGCGGGGAGAGCGTTGTGCTTATGCGCTGCTTGAGGACTTCCCACGTGCATTCGGATGGCCATTGTGAGAGCAGGATACTGAACTAGATTGAGTGTTTGGTCTGATCTGGTCTTTTATTCCAGCCAGACCCCAATATCCCCCTGCCACTCACTCTCTGCTTTTTTGGGGGGGTTATCACCAACCAGCCATCCCCACTGAGCATGTTCAGTGCTGGCAGGGCTGCTTTGCAGGGGGTGATGATCCTGGTGGCGGAATCCCAGCTGCATTAATATCTCGGATGTCTCCAATGATCTCTATGGGCAACTCACTTCCAAACCAGAGGGCATTTACGAATAGCTTCTTAGTGTGAACCAGAAAATTTTACCTATCCATACGAGATGGCTCACATTCTACCACGTCTCTCTTCCTCCATCGTCCTTTTCCAGGATGTCCCATTCCCACTCCTTTGAGTTACAGCCCACCCCTCACTATAAAGGATTTTTCTTCAAACTTCTGGGTTGTGCCAGTTCTGCTGTGTGTGGGTGGTGAAGCACAACCAGTCAAAGATTTGAAATATATTCACATGGATTAAACAAAAAACAAAAATCCCCAAGCATAAAATAACCACACGTCTTATCAGTTTACAATCAGCTGTACCAGTTGCACCTAGCAGCGCTGAGAAGCTGTGAACATGTTGAATCAAAGCAGAATAATACGCCTGTCTCCAAGTATTACTTTCTGCAATTTCATCTCGCTGGCAATTTAGCAACCTGCCTGACAATAAACTCGCAAGCGAATTACCTGCAAAACATACAGACCGCCAAAGACAAAAGCTATCCTTTCCTCCTCCTTTCAGCGTGGAAATGCTCATTCCAGGACAAAATGAAGACGGAAAGGCACGCACACGCATGCCAGGACTTAGAATCATAAAATTGTAACAGTTGGAAGGATCATCTAGTCCAACCCGGGGGAATCTCAAACCCAGGGGCCAAATTTGGCCTCTCTAGCTGGCCCTGGTGCTGGAGGAGACTCTTGAGAGTCCCATGGATGGCAAGAAGATCAAATCTATCCATTCTGAAGGAAATCAGTTCTGAGGGCTCACTGGAAGGACAGATCCTGAAGCTGAGGCTCCAATACTTTGGCCACCTCATGAGAACATAAGACTCCCTGGAAAAGACCCTGATGTTGGGAAAGATGGAGGGCACAAGGAGAAGGGGGCGACAGAGGACGAGATGGCTGGACAGTGTTCTCGAAGCTACTAACATGAGTTTGACTAAACTGCGGGAGGCAGTGGAAGACAGGAGTGCCTGGTGTGCTCTGGTTCATGGGGTCACGAAGAATCAGACATGACTAAATGACTAAACAACAACAGCTGGCCCTTTGGACTCTCAAACCTACACACACACACTTGCAACACCCTTTCCCAGCTCTGCTTTGTACCCTCCTTGAGTGCTTTTGCCTAGTTAGAATGTGTCATTGTATAAACTAACCTTCTTATACCAGGTAAAATAAAACTTGTTGCTCTGTCCACATCCAATCAATTTTGCCGAGTGGCTCAGAATTCTAGCGTTCTGAGAGGGGGAAGAAAATCCCAGCAGAACATTCACTGTCTCCAGATATCTCAAGGACCGCCTCTGAACCAATCCAGACCCTGCAATCAGCATCTGAGGCCCTTTTTCATGTGCCTCCTCCACAAGATGTCTGTAGGGTGGCAACACGAGAACAGGCCTTTTCTGTGGTGGCTCCCTGTTTGTGGAATGCTCTCCTCACGGAGGCTCGCCTGGCACCTTCATTACATATCTTTAGGCATCAGGTGAAAACATTCCTATTTACCCCTATCTGGCTGATTAACAGAGAATCATTTTAAACGTGTTTGTAAGGGGGGGGGTATTTGTTTTTGTTTTAGTATACATTTTGCTTTCTCATGTTGTATTTTTATGTTGTGGACTGCCCTGTGATATTCAGATGAAAGGTGGTATAAATACAAAACAAAACAAAACAAAACATTGTCTCCAAAGTATTCATGGTTTCACTGGCCTCTGTCACAGCCCCCACCCCACAAGTATTTTTCTTACGCTCACATTTAAGAGAAATGACTGCACATGGCACAGCTGCCTTCAGACTTCCCTGGGGACACCTGATCTGTCTCCTGTATGTGACTGCAATGTCTGAGCAAGAATTTAATTACATGGAGCGGGGGGGGGGGGGAGTGTCACTCAATCTCACTACTAAATCTACAGAATACTGACACCTGCTGGCTAAAGGAAGTGTTTTCGGGCCTCTAGTAGCCCTCGTTGCTCAAGTTTCAGAAAGAAAGCGAGCCGTTTTGCACACAGCTAATCTGGGTCAGCCATTTCCCACAGACTTGACAGATTTCAATTTCCTGACCCAAATTCCCCCACCCACAGTTCTCTTAAAAAACAACCCCAAAACACCTTCCAATAGATCTAGCCCCAGTGTGGTTAGATTGTCGGTTTGGGACCTGGGAGATCAGAGTTCAAATTCCCACTAAGCCATGAAGCTCTCGGGGTGACCTTGGGCCAGTCGCTGCCTCTCAGCCTGACCCTCCTCCCAGGGTTGCTGTGGGGGTTAAATGAGGAGGGGGACTACCATGCATGCTGCCTTGGGGGGGGGGGAGTGGGAAAGTCAGCACAACAAATTGATAAAAATAAATACTCCTAGTAAGGCTAGCTTTGGATACAACATGCAGTTTCATTTCCAGTAATATATACCGTGTAATACAGTGTAATATTTATAGTGGTATCTCGGGTTACATACGCTTCAGGTTACATACGCTTGAGGTTACAGACTCCGCTAACCCAGAAATAGTGCTTCAGGTTAAGAACTTTGCTTCAGGATGAGAACAGAAATCGTGCTCCGGTGGCACGGCAGCAGCAGGAGGCCCCATTAGCTAAAGTGGTGCTTCAGGTTAAGAACAGTTTCAGGTTAAGTACGGACCTCCGGAACAAATTAAGTACGTAACCTGAGGGGGGGTTGTCTTGCTTTTGTTGCACTATAGTACCAGAGGATCCCAATAATGAAGTAACACTGGGGTTAGGCAGATAAGGTAAAGGACCCCTGGATGGTTAAGCCCAGTCAAAGGCGACTATGGGGTTGCGGTGCACATTTCACTTTCAGGCCAAGGGAGCCGGCGTTTGTCCACAGACAGCTTTCCAGGTTGTGTGGCCAGCAGGACTAAACCACTTCTGGCGCAATGGGACACTGATGGAAGACAAAGCACACAGAAACGCCGTTTACCTTCCTGCCGCAACGGTGCCTATTTATCTACTTGCGCTGGTGTACTTTCGAACTGCTAAGTTGGCAGGAGCCGGGACAGAGCAACGGGAGCTCACCCCGTCGCGGGATTCAAACCACCAACCTTCTGATCGGCAAGCCCAAGAGGTTCAGTGGTTTAGACCCTTGCATTGCAGAGCAACTAATAAAGTGGAATGATGTGCAGGCAGCCCAGTATAAATCGTCCACTTATGCACTATTATTGCCCCAGTGACATGTTGCAAAACACACCCACAAAAACACAACGAAAAGGGCTCTGAGCAATGCGGGTATCATTTCACCACTTGCATACCCAATGGATCGTTGCACTTTGCAAGTGATGTTCTTCTGCAGATCCTACTGTATCAGTAACTCCATTCTACACAAAGTAAGAATCAGGCCTTTAGTGTGGCGAAATTCCCTCTCGTTGAACATTTAGATAGGCACAGTCTCAGTTGTCTTTTCAGCACTGACTGAAGACCTTCCTCTTCCAACAAGGCTTTTCAGTTCGGATCTTTCCTGGTCTGGATCCGAACTGGATTTTATTTTAATTTTTGAGATCTTTTTATTATTTTATCACCTGATGCTTCCAGCCCTTGGGCTCCTATGGGAGGAAGAGAAGGCTATAAATTTAATAAGGAAATTAACTCCGTGGAACTGAGTTCCGCCTGCAAAGGACGGTACCGTTCGATTCATCTCTGCCTTGAGAATCCCTGGCAGTTTAGAAGCACTACTAGGATCAGGAGCTGCTCCTGCTCCCCCTTCTTCCCCAGAGGGGCTCTTTCACCAGCATACTAATGCCTTGCTAGACCCAAATCCCTTCTCCCGATACCCACCCACCCGACACAGAAGTGCCATGGCTCATTGTCTTTGAGCAGAAGTTCATTCCAAACTTCAAATCATTTCATTAAAAAATAAATTACATTAAGAGCTAAGCCTTGATTTTCAATTTTGTCTCATGCCATGGTCTTTTTTATGACCAGTATAAAAAAAAAAAAAGGCAGAAAAAAAATACTTTTTAAATTAATCTCTCGCTTGGATATATATTGTACTGTAAATTTTAATCAACCCTCCCTGAAGGGAAGAAAATCTAATAGTCCTGGCAATCACTTTACAATCTTGTTTGGACCATTTTCTGTTTTTCCCATTATGTAGTTATATTTAACATCGCCGCTTCCAACATATGCGCTCCATCTATCTGTCATTTTGCACACATCTTATTTAAATCCTTCAATGGGGCCGTCAAGACGTTATTTACTACACGGGTGGATTTTTTCCAGGGCTTCTTAAATGCAGGTATGCACCTAATGTCCATAGAATGTCAGTCTGAGAATGATTAAAATAGCTCGCTCATTATACCTTCATGCAGACGTATGCGATTAATGAATTTCTTCTGCCCACAATTGAAATTACTCTTCCCCTTCTCTTGGCTTATGTACCAATTCTAAAGTCCTGTAAGAGAACGAAGTACTTTCAATTTTAAAAATTGGAGGGGGGTGGAAAGGGACTTGAAGGACTTCTCTGTGACCCTTCCCCTCTGCAGGGAGGTGGGACCGATTCAGATGGTCTGCCCCCACCATTCAATGGATCCGAATCAGGCTTCCTCAAACTCAGCCCTCCAGATGTTTTGAGACTACAGTTCCCATCATCCCTGACTACTGGTCTTGCTAGCTAAGAAGCATGGGAGTTGTAAGCCAAAAACATCTGGAGGGCCACGTTTGAGGAAGCCTGATCCAAATGTTTCCAGAGAATGGTAGGGGATGTTTTATTCCATGTTGATGGCCTTTCAGCTGATTCCCTGGTGGCCCGCTGGATTGTGGAGTTAACCAGGGCTATCGACTGTCTGGCTCCGAAGCGCCCTCTCCGATTCCATGGAGCCCGGACAGCCCCGTGGTTTTCCCTGGAGCTGAGGGCGATGAAACAATCACTGAGACGGCTACAACGCCGGTGGTGGAAAACTCATTCTGAATCGGACCTGACAGAGGTTAGAGCTCAACATCGAACCTACCAAGTGGTGATAGCGATGGCAAAGAGGACCTTCTTCACCGCCTCTATTGCATCTGCAGAAAACAGCAGAAGGAGACTCTTTCAGGGCCTTCTGGCGATTCTCTCCCTTGCAAGAAGTGAGGTTACAGGAAACAAGGCAGAGGGCCTACTTGGTGGTGGCGCCTGCCCTGTGGAACGTCCTCCTATCAGATGTCAAGGAAATAAACAACTATCTGACTTTTAGAAGACATCTGAAGGCAGCCCTGTTTAGGGAAGTTTTTACGACTGATGTTTTATCGTGTTTTTAATATTCTGTTGGGAGCCGCTCAGAGTGGCTGGGGAAACCCAGCCAGATGGATGGGGTATAAATAAATGATGGTGATGATGTTGATGAAGATTTGATTCAGTCCATGTTTTTAGGCAAACTTGGTCCATGCATCTTATCAATTTGAAGAGAACTGATCTGATTCACAGACTAGCATGCAGATATATTCCCAGTCTTTTTGCAGAACAATTGCTCTCTCTGTTTGTGTGTACTGTATTGCGTGTGTGTTTTTGCAGTGCAGCAGAGCACAGATGTGGAAACTGGTGTCATCCAGATGTTTTCGACTACAAGCCCCATGATCCCCGACTATTGGCCATGCTGCCTGAGGCTGATGGGATTGGGAGACCAACATCTGGAAGGCGACAGAGTCCCCACTCCTGGTCTAACCACTGTACCACTTTGGATATTTTCTGTCAATGACTGTCCATGCCTTGATAGGTCATAACATTACTCATCTCTCTCACAAGGATGTATTCTGGCACCAAATTACAGCCCCGCGCTCGCCAAGCTCACCTGCCGCTGACAAGGCTTCTTCCCTGATGTCGTTTTCAGCCGGCTGATGGATGTTCCAGGAAGTCAAGGGGAGCAAAGCAATTTCTTCGTAGGAAGCTAGCTTCACCATGTCCATGTGGCTGCTCCGGGGCTTGTAATGCGGAATGAAGCACTCTTTGCCACACTGGAAAATGTCCTTAATGATTTCTTCTGTCTGGACCTCATCCGACATGCTTAGGAAGACTGCAATTCTCCGAGATGCTTGGTATTTAGGATGCTCCAACACCTGCACGGGGAAAGACAGGAGTTTGCAGTCAGAGAGATTGGAAAGTTCACGAGAAAAAACTGTGGGAGAACCCACCTTTTCCTTGAGGCATTGGGCTTAATCACATAAGAGTTTCCAACTCTTGCCCAAGGTCAGAGTTTCATGGATGAGCAGGAATTTGAACTGGGTCCTAGCCCAATACACTAACCACTACAATGCCACTGCTGCCTCAGGTAAAAGGCCTTGCTCAAATCCTCCCACTACAGTCGTATCTTGGATCCCAAACGCCTTGTGATTCGAATGTTTCGGCTCCCGAACACCGCAAACTCAGAAATTACTGTTCCAGTTGGCGAACGTTCTTTGCAACCCGAATGTCGGACGGGGCTTCCGGGGCTTCCGATTGGCTGCAGGAGCTTCCTGCAGCCAATCGGAAGCCACACCTTGCTTTCTGAATGTTTGGGAAGTCAAGCGGACTTCTGGAATGGATTCGGTTCGACTTCCGAGGTACGATGGTATTGGATGCCCCGACTTTTGCATCCTGAGCCAAGGAAGGGGGGAGGCTGCAAGACATCCATAGGAGCAGAATTTCATCAGAGGGGCCTGGCTCCAACTTGGGGTCCTGAGCAGGAGGTCTCTGATCCATGGACTCTTCCTCCCCCTCCCCTTCCTCTCCAGAGTCCTCGGGGCTGTCGCTGATTTCAATCTAATCTTAATATTTTTGAGGTGCCCTGCTTGTGAGCATCCTGTCATGGTGTCTACTGTTCTACCTCCCCTGTCAAGAGACAATATGCCTCTGAATACCAGTGTCTGGGAAGGAATCACAATTGGGGCAGAATCATACTGTTTTTATTTATTTAAGCAATTTAAATACTGAATAGCAGCAACAACAAGAAGAACAACAACAACTTATTACAACAACAACAACAACAACTTGTTATTTTATCCTGCTTATCTGGCTGGGTTTCCCCAGCCACTCTGGGCGGCTCCCAACAAAATATTAAAAACAAAACATCAAATATTAAAAACTTCCCTAATCACAGATGCTTTCAGATGTCTTCTAAAAGTCAGATAGTTGTTTATTTCCTTGACATCTGATGGGAGGGCGTTCCACAGGGCGGGCGCCACTACCAAGAAGGCCCTCTGCCTGGTTCCCTGTAACCTCACTTCTTACAGGGAGGGAATCGCCAGAAGGCCCTCGGAGCTGGACCTCAGTGTCCGGGCTGGACAACGGGGGTGGAGACGCTCCTTCAGGGATACTGGGCCGAGGTCGTTTAGGGCTTTAAAGTTCAGCACCAACACTTTGAATTGTGCCTGGAAACGTACTGAGAGACAATGTAGGTCTTTCAGAACCGGTGTTATCTGGTCTCGGCTTAACTACAATGGCCTCTAAGCTGTTTACAATACAAAAAGGGTTTTTTTAAAAAAACTATTAAAATCTGAAATTAAAATGCTTGTTGGGATTTTTAAAAAGTCTTTGGTTGGTGCTGGAGGTTCTGTAGGGAGAGGGCCTGCCTGACCTCAGCTAGAAGGGAGAGCCACAAAATTGGGCCCACAGTCCTAAGTGATACAAGCCATGCATTCCAACCTTGATGGACCATTAACGGTGACTCCCCTGAAGACCTCAGTTACTGGACAGGGATAGATGGGATTAGGTGGTACTTGAGGTATCCTGGATCCAAATTGGCAAGGTGTTTGTAAATCAGCAATGGTATCCAGATTGAGAAGAGGATGCTACACTAGGTGGACATTTGGTCTGATCCAGCAGCCCTCTTCTTAACATACCTTCTAGGGAGCTAGGCAGGTGTTTGGGTTCTCCTGGGCAACCAATTTCATACGCCCCTAAAACATATACACACACATGCACTCTTGAATCCCCAAATTCCCCCAAGTGTTTAGCTTCTGGCAGCTTCTCCGCAGGGAGCACCGCCATGTGGTAAACAGGATTAAGAAACAGGATTATTTTCGGAGGCTTTCTCATTTGGGGCTGTGGAATCTCCTTATCTCTGCAGCGGGACTCAATGCAGCCGTAATAGTTACAAGCATGAACTCAATCTGAAAATGGAGCTGGGAGTCCCTGAAGAGATTCCTGCTCCTCCTTGAGCTTCACTTGGATGACCTGAGGCAAGACACTCTCTGTAATGTGGGCATAATGCAAGCAGCCAACATTACAAAACTGTTATTAAGATCGTGCAAATAATGTAGATGAAATCCCTTGAGCACTCAGGAAAACACCATAGGCATACTAAGTACCAGCTAGTTCAGCCATAATTTTTGCCAATCTTTACACGGTTTCTGAAGAATTTGTGTCGCTGCTAGGCTTCGGGGCTCTTTGCCCCCTTCCCTGAAGGCTTGAAGATGCCAAACTAAAACATGTTTCATTCCAACAGGTTTATGGGTCAACTGGCTCTTAAATCATCCTCTTACAACCAAGTTTATTTGTTGTGTTTATTGGTCTGACGGTTGTATATACGGTATGATTGTTTTAATCTGAAATCTCGTTAGCTGCCTCAAGTGGCTCACAACTTACTGCAAGCTGGAAAGGCAGGATATAAATATATATTTTAAACTGATATATGTGAACATTACACTCATTTGTTTACAAGGAGCTACTCAAGACGGTTGTCAATACTGTGTTTTATTTCATTATTAATGTCTGCATCCTTCTGTTCTTTCAAGGAACCAAAAATTGGGGGCATGCTTTTTTTCCTGGCAGGTTTCCCAAACAAGTACTGGAAAAAGGCAGATCTTCTTAGGCTCAGAGATGACACAACACTGGACATGATCAGGCAGCTCTCCAGATTATATTTAAGGTCATCCAAGTTTGGAAGCCCACCACTTAGAACTATCTCCCTACAAACAATGCTGGTCCTATTCAGAGTGTTGGAAAGAATGGGCATGGCTAACTTTGATCCATTAATTTCAACGGGTCTACTCTGAGTAGAACTTTGATACAACCCCCATGATCTACAAATCAAGAGCCAGTCTTGTGAAAATGTGCTCCCTTCTCACCCCACCTCTTTGGAGAGAACGTTCCTCTTCCTGGTGCCGATCACAGTTTTGCATCACATGCATGCTAATGAAAACCATGGTTTGTACAAACAACATGGCAGGATCACCATAGCTTGCAGACCCACCTCACACCAAGGGGTCCACGGTTTGAATTCAGCATGGTTTAGACTGGTGCAATGCAATATGGAGCTGTGATTGACACAAGGAAGGTGGGGCGGGGGGGGGGGAATCACTCTAGAGCAAGCCATGGTTTGGATGCAGAACTAACCTGTTAAGTTGTGGGTGAACATATCAGACGACACAGCGATTCTTCAAACAGCTCTTGTTTATTCACAGGCCAGAACAGAACTGAACTGAAGGGTTCAGCCAGCCTGCTTATATAGAGGTCCACTAGAAAGTAACAGTAACCATTTTCTGTAACTATCCAATCACTGAACGTCACTTTCAATCCCTTATTTGCATATGTGGACCTGAGTGAAAACTATCTACAGTATCCCCCTGCTGGCCCAGTACATAACATAACCAAAGACATTTTGCTGCCCAAGAGGGAAGAACAAATGGTGCTCCCCCCAGAATATCAAAGGTGTATCAAGGTGTTCATGTTATGCTGGCACCTGAGGCTGAATGGCCCACAAGCACCTCTCCTCGTCCCTGGGAGTGAAAATACAATGTGATATTAAATATGAAATTAAATAACCAACTCAGTAGAGCGTGAGCCTCTTAATCCCAGAGTCGTGGGTTTGACCAGATGACCCCCGTGGTCCCTTCCAACTCTACAAATCTGTGATTCTGTGAAGAATTTGCTGTCATTTCATGACACCCAAAATCAGTCACATTCCCCCTACCTAATGATAGGGCTGGCCCAGTTTAGAAGAGTCCAGAATTACTTCTGCCCTGGGCCATTGCCAGGTTTAAACTGGCCTAGAAACTTGAGCTCCTTTCCTGATACCAAACCTTTCCCTCCCAACCAAGCTTCAACATCAGGCAATAGGTTATTTTTAAAATTTGCAAATTTCCCACTATATTTGCATTTAAATTGAATGTACTTTGATGTGCACTGGCCTCGCTCCCCCTACCCCTGGGAGATTCAGAGATCTTATTTAAAGACAGAAGACACCCACAGTGGAAACTTCCACAACCACACAGCACTGTGAACAACACAGGAAACTGTACAGCAGTTTACCAAAAGCAAGCAAGAAAAAAAGGAATCTGCTTGCTTTTCTGGATCAGGAAATGGCTATTATTGCCGAATCAGAGCATGCAAACCAGCAGGACTTCAGTCACAAAAGGAAACATTCAGCAAGCAAAGCCACCCAGTGACTAATTAAACGCCAGTGGTGAGGTCAGCCCAGTGCAGCTACTCTCATTTCAAATTAAGACCTCTGTCAAATGAGTAATCATTCGAATAAATAAATTTTCTCTCCACCTCCTTTTCGTTTTCTGGCATTTCAGTGGTGGGCTTCTTTCATCTCTCTTCCCCCATCTGTTAGTCAAATACATCTCGTTCAGGCCCTGACTGACAGCATCTTGTTACATTTCAGGGTATTGAAAAGCCAGATGAAGATGAAAGGCGAATTCTCATCGGATGAAGCAGGGCTCCTAACTTCACTCCGGTGTACAAGAAACAGAGATGCTTTAAAAACTGGTTTTAATTTACTGGGAGATAAGTGTTAAGTTGTGGGTGAACATATCAGACGACACAGCGATTCTTCAAACAGCTCTTGTTTATTCACAGGCCAGAACAGAACTGAATTGAAGGGTTCAGCCAGCCTACTTATATAGAGCTCCAGTACAACGCAACTGTAACAACCTTCTGTAACTATCCAATCACTGAATGTCACTTTCAATCCCTTTTTTACATATGTGGACCTGAGTGAAAACTATCTACAGTATTCCCCTGCTGGCCCAGGGTGAGAACTTCAGTACATAACAATAAGGATTCTCACATTATTATACAAGTCAGGGGGGGCCTGCAAGGAATTACACAGGAGACAAACTATTGAGCCATCCCTTAGCCCAAGAGCGCTCAGCAATCATTAGTCAGGTTTAGTGGGTCAGTGGATATGCAACTTATATGCAACTTGCAACCCACATCCCCAACCTTCCATAATACTCCCCCCCCTTCTTCTTATTTATTAAATTTGTACACTGCCCTATACCCGTAAATCTCAGGACGGTTCACAGCATAACATCAAGAAGCTGCTTTGATTAAACTACTGTGATTTCTAACATTTCCATGCACCAGGGCAGGTTAAAGCAACCAGAAATGCAATTACAAAAACAAGAAACAGTTGTAATAATGAAACAAAAGACCTGCTCAGAGCAAAATCATGATCACAATCGTTCACTTGTATGTCGCCTTTCCATAGTTAAAACCACGCTCAAGGCAACTTACGGACACAGAAATATTTGCGCAGGTACAAAACTGTAACCAAAGTAGTCCTAAGTGATGTGTTTTAAGCATTTAACACCTCTGTCCCGCACACGGCTGAAAAAGTGATGGAGATGTGATAAATTAGGGAGAAAAAAACACTTCCCCTCTGATACTAATTAAGGCACACACAGCATCTTGAGCAGGGGTCAGCAAACTTTTTCAGCAGGGGGCCGATCCACTGTCCCTCAGACCTTGTGGGGGGCTGGACTATATGGGGGGTGGGATGAACGAATTCCTATGCCCCACAAGAGATGCATTTTAAATAAAAGCACACATTCTACTCATGTAAAAACACGCTGATTCCCGGACCATCCGCAGGCCAGATTTAGAAGGCAATTGGGCCGGATCCGGCCCCCAGGCCTTAGTTTGCCTACCCATGATCTTGAGACTCATGCAGGAAGGAGGGGAAAAGGCTCAGAAGATATACATCCCATGATTCGTAACCCTCAGTCCCCAGATACTGTAAGCATCAACACTGGCATCACATGCCATCAGTGATACAGGAAAATAAGGAGCCTTATACAGAAGGGAACCAGTGGAACATCTAGGGAGCAGGTGGCGCTGTGGTCTAAACCACTGAGCCCCTTGGGCTTGCTGATTGGAAGGTTGGCAGTTTGAATCTGCGCGACGAGGTGAGATCCCCGTTGCTCTCCCAGCTCCTGCCAGCCTAGCACTTCTAAAGCACGCCAGTGCAAGTAGATAAATAGGGACCACTGCGGCATGAAGGTAAATGGTGTTTCTGTGAGCTCTGGTTTCCATCAGGGCATTCCATTGCTCCAGAAGCAGTTTAGTCCTGCTGGCCACATGACCCGGAAAGCTGTCTGTGGTCAAATGCAGGCTCCCTCTGCCTGAAGCAAGATGAGTGCCACACCTCATAGTCGCCTTTGACTGGACTTAGCCGTCCAGGAGTCCTTTACCTTTACTTTTACCTACGCTGACTCCTAGCAGCTCCCCAAGATTTCAAGCAGGGGTCTCTCCTATTTGGGAAATTTGCCCTGCCTGAAATCCTCGAGGCGCTTCGAGTTAAAGGGACCATTTCTCTGACTCAGTACAGGGCAGCTTTCAATGTCCTTATCTGATGCCATTCTCATGCTGGGTCCAGGCTAGGTCACAGAACTAACACATTCCTTTCCTGGGACATTTTCACTCATCTCAAAATATTATGGAAGCAAAAGGAAGTTTCAGTCTATGAGAATGGGGTGAAAAGGAAACAGAAGGTGGTTATGAATGATGAGGTCAGTTATATAGGAAAAAAGTCATTTTTATGTTAAATATATTGTAAGAACTATTTAATATTATTGTTTTTCTTCCTTTTTTCCTTTTTAGTTGCTAGGAGGTGATGGATATTTGTTTACTTCTATATTTATTTTTTGTGTGTTCTGTATTAAAATGAAATATAGATATATGATGAATGGCATGACAGAATTGATGAATACTGCACAAAGGTGAAGCAGCTTACTTTGCATCGGCAGTGCTCAAAGCTTTGTTTTTTATGTATTATGTTCCACCCTATGAATTCATGATGTGTCAATAAAGTAGAGGCTGCCTCTGAGCATACACAAAATGCATCTCCCTCAACTGCTGAATTCTACCCAATCTCACCACATGTGGGAAGGAAAAAGGTTGCCAGGCCAGAGTATGCGAGCCTCCAGAAAAATTTCAGCCCTCAGCCCCGCTCCCTCTTTTAAAGCGTAAGGTTTGCAGTCCCTAAACCCCTTTAATGCTGCGTTTATTTCCAACATTATTAGGCAGCTTTTCACCATCGATGGTCACAAAGCGGCTTGCACAACATCCCCTCAAAGTAATACAGAAACAAACAAAAGCAATAGGTTTTTAAACAAAAAACCAGTTCCATAAACACAAGCAATCCATTTTTGGGGTGAAAGCAGCCACAGTGAACTCAACGGAACATCTCACTTCCGAGGGGGCCTGCGTATCCGCAGGGGCTCCCCACGCACACGTTTCCGGGGGATGACGCATTACCAACCTCACTTCCGAATAAAAAACTCACTTCCCACCCTCTCCAGGGGCATATCCGCGTCCGCCCCTTTCCACGTGCTGGCCGTTCCCTTACGTCACCGCAAGCGCTCTCATTCAACTCAAGGAGGGGTTTTTCTCTGGGCGGGAGGGAATCCCCCCCAGAGGGAACTTTACACTCTCACTTTCTCTCTGTCTCTATCATAAACACCCGCGCGCGGGGGTGGGGGGACCAGGGCGCACGGGCTGCGCTTCCCGGGCAGCCGCGCGCGCCGTTCCATGGAGAAAGGGGCTTTCCCCGCTCCCCGCTTCGTTTTTCTAATTGCAGGTGAACCAGCGTCGCGTGGGAAGAGGGCAAAAGAGCCTTGAGGGACACAGGTTGGCCGGCCTCTGAGGAAACGCCTGGCCGGGGGCGAGGGGAGAAAAAAACAACCCACAGAAAAGACTTTTCCCCGAGACAGGCTTGCTGGCCCTCACCCACCTTGCCGCGCACGAGGCGCGACTGGCGCAGCTTCTCGGCGGCGCTCAGGGCTCCCAGGCGGCGCTTCAGCTCCGCTCGCAGCGCTCCCTTGGCGGCGTGCAGGGCGGCCATGTCGCCGGCGGAGGCGGCTGCGCCCTCCCCTCGGCTCTCCATAGGCAGCGCAGCCTCCGCCGCCTCCCCGAGGAGGCGCCTCGACGACACCGGCTCAGTTCAGGAGAAGGAGCGCAGGGAGCGCGCGGAATTGGGCTCCGCGGGGGCTGTCGGTTGCGCTTAAATGGCCTCAGCGCGGAGGGGAAAGGCGAACAAGCTGGACTTTCTCGCTGGGAGAGGCGCTCACCTTTGTCACCTTTGTCCTGGCAAAATACCGGGTGGGGGAAGATTTTCCTTTTCATCTGGTGCCAAAGTGACTTCAAAGCAATCTATTGCAGCCTAACCGGGTGACCTCTCTGGAATTTGTCACACACGCACGCACAAATCCACATAAATGTGTACATCCTCCCCCCCCCCCCAAAAAAAAACCCCAAAGTGGTGTGCTTCTCAATAATAGCCATTTCTGGAAAGTGCAGGAAGAGAGGATGCAGTTACTGCTTGTGGGCTTCCCATGAGAGGCATCGTGGTGAGAGTAGGATGCTGAACTCAATAGGCCATTGGTCTCATCCAGCCCTGCCCTCAGGTGATGCCAGCAAAGTCTCTGAACCTGAAGTAGGGCCAGCTCCACTAAGGCTTCTATCAGATGAGCCTGTGGGGACAGTGGGCCCGAACCCACCCCAATCCAAAGTTGTGGTACTGCTGTCCTAGACTCAGGATTCATCTGTAGAAGACCTATAAGGCAGCGGTAGGCAACCTAAGGCCCGGGGTCCGGATGCAGCCCAATCACTTTCTCAATCCGGCCCACAGATGGTCCAGGAATCAGCGTGTTTTTACATGAGTAGAATGTGTCCTTTTATTTAAAATGCATCTCTGGGTTATTTATGGGGCCTGCCGGGTGTTTTTACATGAGTAGAATGTGTCCTTTTATTTAAAATGCATCTCTGGGTTATTTGTGGGGCATACGAATTCATTCACTTTTTCTTCTTCAAAATATAGTCCGGCCCACCATGTGGCTGGAAAAGGTTGCTGCCCCTGCTATAAGGGCTTTATTTCAGCTTGCTGGAGCAAATTCAGAGTTCATTGTTTCCAGAGCATTGCATGAGCCTAAGGTCCAGCCTGAATTTCATCCCACCTTGCCTTGTGTCAAGCCTGAACCTTGTCTTGTCTTCTCACCCCTATCAGGCCCTGCCCTGCCTCACCACACTACAGAGCGGGGCAGTTCAGATCTAAAGTTGCCCGGCAAAAGTCTGATGCGTCATTGCTAACATGCGTGATTCATGTTAGCAAAAGTTGAGACAGTATGTGTGTGTGACATCACAGGCATGTGACGCTGCCCCCCCCCAAAAAAAATATTGGGTCCAAGCCGGCCCCTCTGCCTTTTACTCAGATTTATCTGTCTGCAGTGCACGTGCAACAAGGCTACAGAGCAATAACAGTTAGGCAAGAGTAGAGTGGTGTGAGATAACAGTTTGGGGAAAGGAACTGGCAGCCACAAAGGAGCCCTGCGCAAAATGAACTCTTGTGAAAGTTTCCTGCGACAGCACAGATTCGATGGGGAAATGAACATCTTTCCCCGAAAAATTTCCACATTTTGGCAAGGTGAAGTGGTGCCGCTGACACAGGCGGTATTTATGTCCTGTTCTAAACGTGGATTTTGCTGGTGCAGAAAACTTCAGGATAGAAATGTGTCTCCTACAGTTCTGTCTCCCAGACAGCAGGGACTTGCTGAAACATAACGGCATTCATTCAGCTTCGGCCCCTGAGATAAATGCAGCTTTCTCATGAGAATGACATTTGCTCCAGAGAAAGAAAACCTCCGGATTTGCACCCTAACTCTCTTTCTGGCAACAAGGCTGTTCCATATTTTAATGCACTACAGCCAGCCATGATGCCTGATTCCTTTCTAAAGCAGATTGTAGGGTCAGACAGCATCTTAAAAAGCAGAGGCATCTTAAAAAGCAGAGACATCACCTTGCCAACAAAGGTCCGTATAGTTAAAGCCATGGTTTTCCCAGTAGTGATGTATGGAAGTGAGAGCTGGACCATAAAGAAGGCTGATCGCCGAAGATTTGATGCTTTTGAATTATGGTGCTGGAGGAGACTCTTGAGAGTCCCATGGACTGCCAGAAGATCAAACCTATCCATTCTTAAGGAAATCAACCTTGAGTGCTCACTGGAAGGACAGATCCTGAAGCTGAGGCTCCAATACTTTGGCCACCTCATGAGAAGAGAAGACTCCCTGGAAAAGACCCTGATGTTGGGAAAGATGGAGGGCAGAAGAAGAAGGGGATGACAGAGGATGAGATAGTTGGACAGTGTTCTCGAAGCTACAAACATGAGTTTGACCAAACTGCGGGAGGCTGTGGAAGACAGGAGTGCCTGGCGTGCTCTAGTCCATGGGGTCACGAAGAGTTGGACACGACTAAACGACTAAACAACAACAAGGGTCAGTGGGAACTGTGTTACAACCCAGTGTGAACTGGATTGCAAACTTTAAAACAACAGCCTTGCTGTGTATGCTAAGGTGATCAGGCCTGAGGTACACAGCCCTGGTACTTTCTTTGCAAAGGAATGAAATAATAATAATAATAATAATAATAATAATAAATTTATTATTTATACCCCACACATCTGGCTCAGTTTCCTCAGCCACTCTGGACAGGTCCCAATAGAATATTAAAAACACGATAAAACATCAATCATTAAAAACTTCCCTAAACAGGGCTGCCTTCAGATGTCTTCTAAAAGTCAGATAGTTGTTTATTTCCTTGACATCTGGTGGAAGGGCGTTCCACAGGGTGGGCACCACCACCAAGAAGGCCATCTGCCTGGTTCCCTGTAACCTCACTTCTCGCAGAGAGGGAACCGCCAGAAGGCCCTCGGAGCTGGACCTCAGTGTCCGGGCTGAACGATGGGGGTGGAGACGCTCCTTCAGGGATACTGGGCCAAGGTCATTTATGGCTTTAAAGGTCAGCACCAGCACTTTGAATTGTGCTCAGAAACGTACAAGGATTTAACAATAAACAACCACACCAGAAATGAAATTTCCAAAGCCTACCCAAAAAATTTACACATCTAGGGCATCCTTTACCTTATGGAGAGTAACCCTGGAAAAAGGAAAATAGAAATTTGAGTGAAGGAATTATCCTACCTAAGCAGGCTTATCTCCAATACAGACACAAGGTATCTGAGCTAAGGATCCTTGTAACAAGCAAAATTAGGGATGGGGGGGCAGGAGTGAGACATGAGAGAAGGAGGTGCCTACAAATACATTCTGTCTTGGGGTTTCCCTGTACAGTGGTACCTCAGGTTAAGTATTTAATTGGTTCCGGAAGTCTGTACTTAACCTGAAGCGGACTTTCCCATTGAAAGTAATGGAAAGTGGATTGATCCGTTCCAGATGATGAAAAACACCCCCTAAAACAGCAATTTAACACGAATTCTACTGTTTCACAAGACCATTGATCCATAAAATGAAGGCAATAATCAATGTACTGTACTATAAAATAAATAAGATAGATATTTTAGATGGGGGCGGGGGAATTATTTCCAAACTCACTGTTTGGAGGGGGCTCAGGGTCCTCTTCCACAATCATAATCGGCTTGGCTCCCAGCATTCGTGGAGGCCTCAGAGAGCTCCTGCGGCTGAAGCCCAGTCGCAGAGCCTCTGCAGGCCCCGTGGACGTTGGGGCTTGGCTCCCGGCATTCGCGGAGGCCTCAGAGAGCTCCGTAGGCCCCACCGATATCCGGGTTTGCCTCCAGGCAGCGGTGAGGCCTCCGAGAGCTTGGACAACTTACTTCCGGGTTACAATCATTCGTAACAAACAAACAAAAAAGTTGAAGCGTTTGTAACCCGAGGTACCACTTTATATAATTAGAGTTGGCACTGAGACAGAACTGCCTTTATATACACTTGGGATATGAACTCCCATCCCACACGATCCAGAACGCCATAAAGTTGCACAAGCAGCAAACCATTGCCAAAATACAGGTTTATCTCAATATTGTCCTCTGCACATGCATGGGAGCATCTGTTACATAGGTCCAAGGAAGTAGCGAAGTCCCAGCGGATGTGCCTGGCTTGAACTTCACATCTACTGCCCCAGCCTTCCTTGTTTGCTTCAGGTTCTATAAGCGAGAAACATTCACACACTTAACTAAAAGTAATGTTGTCTGCTGAGCAGCTGCCCAGATATTTCTCAGCTGTATGAATTTATGCATCTTGGCAGCACTGTTATCTCTCAGCACACGCTGCTCTGCAAAACTAGCAACTTAAATTTTCAGTCTGAACTGGATTAAGAGCCCAACTTTACTTAACTTTAAAAATAAAAGGACACAGTAGAATAAATGGTCTAATATATGTTTTCTACATAATAAAATAATTATTATATCATAAGCATAGATGTCTCTTAACATAAGCGTTGACCGACTGGGTTGCCAAATGCAAAAGTTGCCCTGGTGTTTCTCCTTTATTGTTGTTTAGTTGTTTAGTCATGTCCGACTCTTTGTGACCCCATGGACCAGAGCACGCCAGGCCCTCCTGTCTTCCACTGCCTCCCGCAGTATGGTCAAACTCATGCTGGTAGCTTCGAGAACACTGTCCAACCATCTCGTCCTCTGTCGTCCCCTTCTCCTTGTGCCCTCCATCTTTCCCAACATCAGGGTCTTTTCCAGGGAGTCTTCTCTTCTCATGAGGTGGCCAAAGTATTGGAGCCTCAACTTCAGGATCTGTCCTTCCAGTGAGCACTCAGGGCTGATTTCCTTAAGAATGGATAGGTTTGATCTTCTTGCAGTCCATGAGACTCTCAAGAGTCTCCTCCAGCACCATACAGTGGTACCTCAGGTTAGTAAGTACTTAATTCATTCCGGAGGTCCGTACTTAACTTGAAACTGTTCTTAACCTGAAGCACCACTTTAGCTAATGGGGCCTCCTGCTGCTGCTGCACCGCCGGAGCACAATTTCTGTTCTCATCCTGAAGCAAAGTTCTTAACCTGAAGCACTATTTCTGGGTTAGCGGAGTCTGTAACCTGAAGCGTATGTAACCCGAGGTACCACTGTAATTCAAAAGCATCAATTCTTTGGCAATCAGCCTTATTTTTGGTCCAGCTCTTACTTCCTCTCCTTTATTAGGGTAGCAAATTTTCGAGAATCCTGTTTAAATCATTCAAGTTGCAATGTAATTGCGGCACTGGGGTGGAGCTTTGCAGCAGAAGTCTAGGGTCCAGCTGATCAGAAAGAGCTGCACCAAAAAGAATGCAGTCCTTGACGGGGGGAAACCTGGCTCACCCCGATAAAAGGATTATGACGATTGGGAGCATTCTCTGAGCGAATTATGGTTTGAGTTTTCTTGAATAAGGCTCTGAAGGTACCATACTTCTAAGGCACATTTCTCCACACCGAGCCAAAGGATCTTGGGAACTGTGGTTTACCCCTCACAGAGCACCCTTCTTAAACTACAGTTCCCATGATTTTTTCAGTTGGGGGGAATGTGTGATTTAAATGTAGAGTGTTTAGTGTTTACACAGCCTCAGTTACAAAATGGTGGAAGAGGAATGGGCTACAGCAGAACTATGGTAAGAACTCATGGTAAGGGCTTAAAGTATTTGGAAAGCAAAAACAGACCAGTTGAAATTGTTTTTTAAAATGTAAACCTTCTTGAATACCTGGTGGATATAAATAATAAGTTGTGCAGGCCTAGTTTGAACAATACATCAGTTTGGTAAAAGATAACACTATTCCTTTGATTTTAATCCAGGAGAACCTTGCTTGTGGTCTCAATGGATCATTTTACTGATTAGCTACTTTCTTTATTTAAGCCCAGGTCTTATAGATGAAAGTTAAAGTTTATATATGCTTTAGCTGTATATTTCTTGTTTAAAGGCTGGAAACAAAGTCTTGTGTTCTATTTTGAATCCACAGGGTCTTAAAATGTTAATTACACATTAAGCTGCCCACAGTTATTTGTTTATTAAAGTTGAAGGAATTTCCCCCATGCAGATTGAAGGCTTGTACCCCAGTGTACTTGATCATACAAATTTCCAAAAATGTGATATGATTGTAACTTGAAAAGAGATTGTGCCTTATGACCACACAAACCTACAGTCCTGACTCAAGTTGTTTAAGTATTTTCCTGTTGAAGACCTAGCCAAGTGAATACATAATGGTGGTCTAAAATATTGGTGGGGGAGGAATTTGCATTTTGTTTGTATTTTAATTAGAAACTACCTAAGTCACACTTTTTGAACCAATACACAAAACAAGACACAACTGTCTTTCAAAATTCACACTTCTCTGAATCTTGTGGCGCAGTTCTGCAAACAGAAAATGTGTACAAAAATAGTATGTTTTTTTGGGGGGGTGGACTCTGAAATGCTGGGATTTTTTTAATGAGGATCCCACTTCTCAAAGTTGTAAACTGTTGGAGAACTGCGGCTGGGAAAATGAGAAATAGAGATATCAACAAGTGTTCTGTCTTAGAAAACTTCCGGTGCAAAACCTTTGCCTCTCTTTTAAAACAATATTTGGCAATTCAAAATGGAGGGAAATGCAACAGCATAGCATCATAGCATGGAAACAAGGATTAGAGTTGCTTAATCTCAACCTAAGGCTGAGTTATGTTGTTTTCTAGTCTGTTGGTTAAAGGTCAAGCTGAAAAGTACAGAATTTAGACTGGCAGAACTGGATGAACTTGGCTTCCAAACGCTTCCTCCTGTTGCAACTCCTCCAGTTTAATATTTTACTTAGCACCAGTTGTGCTGGAGTCCGCTTGCAAAACACAGAAGTGGAACAGCAACTGTCTCAAGGAGGTTATGCTATGTCACAATGCTTCTCACCCAGAGCCGGATTTCGGTTTGATGAGGCCCTCAGCTACTGGCAGTAATGGGGCCCTTTATATGTTCAGCTGTTCTTTGTCAACAACAAATTGTCACTGTTCTTTGTGTTGAATATACAGTGGTACCTTGGGTTACATACGCTTCAGGTTACATACGCTTCGGGTTACAGACTCCGCTAACCCAGAAATAGTACCTCGGGTTAAGAACCTTGCTTCAGGATGAGAACAGAAATCGTGCTCCGGCGGCGCAGCAGCAGCAGGAGGCCCCATTAGCTAAAGTGGTGCTTCAGGTTAAGAACAGTTTCAGGTTAAGAATGGACCTCCAGAACGAATTAAGTACTTAACCCAAGGTACCACTGCATGCTATATGGTAATTTATGGACCTAATAGGTATCTAAAGACATTTGCTCAGAACAAAATATGTATTTTATCAAAGTAATTGTTGAACTGAAATACAATTAAGAAGAAGTACCGTATTTTTCTGTCCCCATGTATAAGATGCCCCCTGTTTTTAGGGGCACTGTCAGATGGCAATGGTGGTTGCTCATGAGTAACCAGTCAGGACTCCGACCTGTCTTTTACAGGTTATATTTTGGTGCAAAACTATTTACAGTGCAGAGCCACAAGTTCATGTCTGCCTCAGTTGCTAGCAGAATACGGGAGTGGTTGTTTCCGGAACCTCCTCCAACATAATAGCTTAGTCACTCCCAGCCTTTCCCTTCCTTCTTCGCGTTTTACACCTCTGTGCAGGGTGGGCGATGGAAGGGGCGTGCTTCCCTCCTGGTCCGCTTGGCCAGGAGCAGTGCTGAGGCTCCCAGCAGCATCCTCTGGTCCTTTTCCCCCCAGGAGCGGTGCTGAGGCTCCCAGCAGCATCCTCTGGTCCTTTTCCCCCTAGGAGCGGTGCTGAGGCTCCCAGCAGCATCCTCTGGTCCTTTCCCCTCTTCCCTACTGGAGGTGTGGCTTTCCTCACCACAGGAAGAGGAACTGCTTCGCAAGATTTTCGGAGGTTCCCTGTAACCCAACTGCCCCTCTGCTTCCCTATTATTGTTGTTATGTTATTGTTATTCACTACAAAACATTGCAGGCAGGTGCATATATTGTTTCGCCTTAACTAATAGCAAGGCTAGGGGGAGCCAGATTCTCCCTATAGAAGAAGCATGTGGGTAGGGGAGGGTTAGCCCTCTGTTACAAGGTCAGAACAGAGGCTGCCCCCCACTGCCTGGGTTAACAGCCATAGAAAGAGAGTCCCTGTGGGTGAGGACGTTTGGCCCTGCAAACTACAGTTCCCATCGGCCCCAGCAAGCGTAGCCAGTGGCCTGAGATGATGGGAGTTTTAGTTTGGCAGCATCTGAAGGACCAGAAGATATTTCCCTATCTGCTTTGTTGGGACCTACGAAGTTCCAAGTTTTCAGCCACTTAAAACTTTCAGCCACTGAAGTTCATGGTTTCAGCTTTTACATGTTTCGCCACCCTTCAGCAAGCGAGTTTTCTGTAACCACCTGAGCACGCTCAGCCCTCAGCGAATTGTTTTCGGGACTCCCCTCACTAAGGGTTTTCCCCCTTATAGATTTTCATACTTCTACGCACATTGTGCTTCTGCAAACTTCTGTTCCCCTAGGCCTGCTGATATCTTCCCCTTGTGCGCAGGTGTGCCAGTGGAATAAGCATCTTAAACATCTGAGGGTTGTTGTCAACTAACGTGTACTCAGAGTTAGACCCATTGCAATGGATGGCCATGACTGACTGAGGTCCACGAATCTCAGCGGGTCTAACTCTGAGTAGAAGTAAGTTGCATGTTTACCTTTGGAACGTTGGGAGTGAAGTAACAAGGCTTGTTATAAGTAGGGTTGCCATGTTTCCTAAAGAGAAAATCCAGACACAAAAGCTTGCAGATTCTCAAAGACAAAATGAAGTTTTGGAGCTATTTTTAAGGAAATTCATCAAAATCTACTGGTGATTTCCTCCCAGCCACTGGTTCAGACTGCTGTATTCTGGCTATGTCCAGAAAATTCCAGACGTATGGCGGCCCTGCCTGGACCACTAGGAGGCAGTTGGCAGAAAGACATCATATTTCCCCCTCGCTGATCCCTTCCTGAGTAACTAACTGCCTGTAGATCTTCTCTCAAGCTTTACTTCCTTCCTACTGCTTCTTCAGTATTAAGTGTTGGACTCTCCTTTTGTAAGTTGGTTCTCAGAATGGCCTTGTTTGCCAGGAGTAAGAAACCTTTCTTTATTCTTCAACCAGCAGTCTTAATGGACTATTTATTTCTGCTCTCCTCCGATACATACACACACACACACACACACACACATGGAGAGAGACCATTTCAACTTGATTATTTGAGAAGATTTAATGTAATCTGAAGGAAGCTGTCCGTGCATCATGCGATAACAGTTCTGATTTACCATGAATTGTATCAGATGCAATGTTTCCAACACAGGCATACAAAAACATAAATAAATAACAGATAAATAAGTTTGGAAACGGGAAGGACGAAGTGCTCCCTTTGGCTCAGTAAGGCAGTCTCGGTTTTCTAATAGCAGGAATCCTTCCCGGAAGGCATGGCGATATAAATATCTGGTGGTCACCAAGGAACCAAGTTTGTCAGTAATATTGACTGAAGAACGAGAAAGCGGAGATGAGTTTTGTCTTGATGTAGTGCAAGGCCAGCCAGGGACTCTTCTCTTCACCCAACTTTGCAAGGAAGCTGTCCTGCAGTAGGGGAGAAGAATAACATTTTCGTTAGGGGTCAATTTCTTATGACAAAGTGCTGTTTGCTTCCCCTTACCAAGAGGGCAAATTGGTTTGAAGGAAGGTGCTCAGATTATCTTTCTTTCTAAGCCAAGAATATTGCAGTACAGTGCTACCTTGGGTTAAGTACTTAATTCGTTCCGGAGGTCTGTTCTTAACCTGAAACTGTTCTTAACCTGAAGCACCACTTTAGCTAATGGGGCCTCCCACTCCTGCTGCACTACTGGACCATGATTTCTGTTCTCATCCTGAAGCAAAGTTCTTAACCTGAGGTACTATTTCTGGGTTAACGGAGTCTGTAACCTGAAGCGTCTGTAACCTGAGGTACCACTGTACCCACTGTTGAATAGTGGAAAAGATTGATGAAGGCCACAGCTCTGTTGGATTCACAGCTCTTTATTGCAGCAGTTAGAACTGCTCCTGGAATCAGACTGACTGCAACCTAGCTGGCTGCTTTATATAATACTAAGTAACTTGAAACAGTAACAACTCACAACTAGCTAACCAATCAACGACAGTTTTCAATCCTTCATTTACATACTGGTGGCCCTGAGTGAGAACTGCCACTAATCTTAATACATAACACCCACCATTCTCTCTCTGCTAGCACAAGGGGTCCTGCACTAGTAGACAGGCATGTTTTAACATTGCAGGGCAGAGGAATACAATACGATAGTTGTGCTAACTCATTGTGCAACGGAATGCACAATCAATTTTGCAAGAAAGTTACCAGTGACCTGCTTATAGACTCTCCTGGAAAGGGACCTTCTGCTGGTGCAAATCATTTCACCAGTGGGAAAAATATACTGCTGAGTGAGTTTGCCTTCGGTAGGACAAGAACAGCCCTCCCCTTTTGTTTTGCGACGGGGTGAGCTCCCATTGCTCGATCCCTGCTCCTCCCAACCTAGCAGTTCAAAAGCACATCAAAGTGCAAGTAGATAAATAGGTACCGCTCCGGTGGGAAGGTAAACGGCGTTTCCGTGCGCTGCTCTGGTTCGCCAGAAGCGGCTTAGTCATGCTGGCCACATGACCCGGAAGCTGTAAGCCAGCTCCCTCGGCCAATAAAGCGAGATGAGCGCCACAACCCCAGAGTCAGCCATGACTGGACCTAATGGTCAGGGGTCCCTTTACCTTTACCTAATTGTATATATTGGGTGAAAAATTGCTTTCTTTTATCTGCCCTGCTTATCTCCATTGCTTGTCTCTTCAATTTAAAATTCAAGCAACAACCGAATGATGCACAATCACGCACGCACGCACTGAACCCAGAAGTAGCCCCCAAACTTCATAATGGTGTCATGAAAAGGAGTGGAGCAGGGCGAAATGGAGCAGGCTTATGCACACTCGGCTGACGCACGTGGGGGTCCAGAGCATAACCCCCACGCAAAACAAGGATTGCCTGTATTATAGGAAAACAACAAGCACTGTAGCAAAACACCATTTACAGTGCCAGCACCTGGCTATTGTTGTGCCACCTCAGAAAGCAATACAGTCATACCTTGGTTATCGAACGCCCTGGAAATCGGACGTTTTGGCTCCTGAACGCTGCAAACCTGGAAGTGAGTGTTCAGGTTTGCGAACGTTCCTTGGAACCAGAACATCCAACAGGGCTTCCATGGCTTCTGATTGGCTGCAGGAGCTTCTGCTGATTTTAACCCTCAGTGTCTGAGAGGGGAGGAGATGGTCTTTCAGGTATCTGGGTCCCAGTGCCAGATTAGCAAACTGAGTAGGCACCTTTTAGGATCCCCACGACAACAGAGGAAAAGTAATATTTGATATTGAAAGAAAATGACAAACCAGCTTTCTTAGTTCAATGTGAGGGAGTGGGTGAGATTTTGACTGCCTGGGGGCCTCCGTGGGGTTTAATCCAGTACTATAGGGACCCAAGTCATTTAAGGTTTTAAACAATGCCCAACTGGTATGATAAGGTCAAAGCACATAAAGCATTTAGAAACCACATTGTCAGGAAAGCGCTATTTAATGTTTGGTTAAGATATAAGGATTTGTTAGAAAACAAAACTCCAAGGTGGCTGTCACCAATGGAAGCGAAAGCCTTGAAAAAGGTCAATATGGAGGTCAAATGGCCGAAATATTGGGAAATTTTGGAACAAGACGGAGATAGATTGAAATTGCAGAGTTTTGAAAAACTAAAAACAAAGTGCGAGACTGGCTTCATTATTATCAGATAATGGAGGTATTTAAATTGGACAGGAAAATTGGCTTCCAGGTGGAAAGATCCAAATTAGAAACAGAATTGTTAGAACCCAATACTAAGAATCTGTCAAGAATGTATAACTTGCTGCTGAAATGGAATACTCAGGATGAAACGGTGAAATCTGCTATGATTAAATGGGCACAGGATGTTGGACATAACATTATGTTTGCTGACTGGGAACAGTTATGGACCACAGGTATGAAATTTACGGCATGTAATGCCTGAAGAGAGAATATTATGAAAATGATATACAGGTGGTACATAACCCCAGTCAAGCTTGCGAAAATTTATCACTTGCCCGATAACAAATGTTGGAAATGTAAAGAAACAGAAGGTACATTTTTTCACCTTTGGTGGACGTGCCCAAAGATTAAGGCTTTCTGGGAAATGATATATAATGAATTAAAAAAGGTATTTAAGTATACCTTCCCTAAGAAACCAGAGGCCTTTCTCCTGGGCATAGTCGGCCAAATGGTGTTAAAAAAGGATAGAACTTTCTTTATGTATGCAACAACAGCAGCAAGAATACTCATCGCAAAGTATTGGAAGACACAAGAACTTCCCACGCTGGAGGAATGGCAGATGAAACTTATGGACTATATGGAATTGGCGGAAATGACTGGTAGAATCCGTGACCAGGGAGAAGAGTTGATGGAGGAAGATTGGAAGAAATTCAAAGACTACCTTCAGAAACACTGTAAAATTAAGGAATGTTAGAGTGATGTTGGACTGAAAACAAGAGGTTTCCAGCTGTACAGGTTAAAGTTAATGATAGACTAAGATTAAAGATTAAGATTAAAGATGTTTAAAGAAATGGAAATTTGATATTAAGAGGGAAAATTTTAATGGTATATGATATTAAGACCAAGGATTAGGTTTAAAGAAGTTGAAGCTATATATTTTAATATCTTATTAAATTAAAGATTGGGATTAAAAAGTGGAAAAGAAACTGCTGGACAAATAATTTGGATTGGAATACAAAAGAGGGAGGTATGAGGAAGTCCAGAAAATAAGCAACTAAAAAACGGAAATGAAACAGAGATATTGTTTTTAAATTGTTGTTTCTTGTATTTTTATTGTTGAATTTTGCTTTTGTCTTTTTGTTCTTTGTGTTTTTGTTATATGTATTGTGTATGTTTTTCTTTTATTTCTTTGTTGTTCAAAACTTTAATAAAAATTACTTTAAAAAATAAAAATAAACAATGCCCAACTGAGGAAACTGAGCAGCAAACTTACCCAGCCTCCATTTTCGCTGATCCACGTAGCTTTGGTGTTTATAAATTCAGTGACACAGTGGCAAATCGGTTGCATGTTTTCTCTTGTCAAAGGAACTCCGTGCTGTTGCAACTTCTTTGCGGTAATTCCTGCGAAGACGAATATTGTCAAAATCCGTCCCCAGTTGGTGTTCCCGTCGGCAAATTCCTGTGCCATCACCTGGCTGAAAATGTCACTGGCCTCCTCGACAGAACTGATCTTGATGGAGCGCCAAAGTGGCTTTATCTTCTCTTCCACTTCTTCCTGAAGCGAAGGTGCTACTCTTGCCAAGACTTGGGCAACTTGACTCGGGGCAGCGTCCAGTTCGGCATCCTCACAAACGTGTTTCAAGTAGTCTTGGACCAAAGTGTAAACAGACTGCAGCTGGTTGTTTTCCATTGAGAAACGAGCACAGAGGGCAAAATGCAAGCTTTGACCTCGACAATGCAGCTTCAAATGATTTTCAGGTTGCTTGAGAGCTGAACTTAGTAACTTCAGCCTTTTCATGCAATGGTTTCCTCAATGGGGGTGGGGTGGAATTTTTCGCCACACTTTCAAGAAAGTCCATTTGCATGCAGCTTGTGGCTAGGAAATGGAAGTTTCCAGCGTGGGGAAAAAAACAGGTTTCTAGCTTAGACTTCCCCTAAAATGATTTATGAGTTCTCTAAATGCAGATAGAGGAACCGTTAAAAGTTATAACACAGTGGAACCTCGGTTGTTGAAAGTAATCCGTTTTGGAAGACTGTTTGACTTTTGAAACGTTCAACAACCGAGGCGCAATGGGCGGTCAGCAAAATCCATTGAAAAAATGGAGAAACATTCCTCAGAAGCCATTTGACGCCCGAGGCACGTTTGGAAATGGAAGCATTCACTTTCGGGTTGTCGGTGTTCGAAATGTTCGACTTCCAAAGCGTTCGACAACCGAGGTTCCACTGTATATTAAAAACCAAAGTAATCAGCAGCTGCAACCTGGCATATTAATGTTGCTAGATCAAGTAGGTTTACACAGGATCAGATCTGTGTACAAGACAATTGTGTGTGTGTGTGTGTGTGTGTGTGTGTGTGTGTGTCTAGACACAGATAAGCACTGCTGCAAGCTGGTGTACCAGCACAAGGGTTCATAGAAATGTTAGCATCCTGATTTTGGCATGACACCAGTTCTAAGACCTAACGTGAACCTCAATAATAGTACTTTGGAGTAAAGAACCAGAGCAGTGTAGTGATTGGATCAGAGTCTTGGATTAGGGCTGGAAATTCTCTGCTTGGTCATTTAAGATGACCTGGCTATCTTCCAGTGTAACTCACCTTGCAGGGTTGCTGTGAAGATGCTGTCAGTGAGGGTAAGGACCCCTCTGCATTGCCTGAAGTTCCTTGGAGGAAAATACTGGATATTTGGGGAATGGTCATAGGTCGGGGTAGAGCATCTGCTTTGCAAACAGAAGGTCCAAGGTTCAGCCCCTGACGTCTCCAGGAGAGGCTGGGAGACACCCCAGTCTGAACCCTAGAGAGCCTACTGAGATAGATGGACCAATAGGCTGGTGTGGAACAAGGCAGTTTCCCATGTTCTTATGAATGTAGCTGATTAAATAAAAGTGTTGGGGAAAGCAAGCTATGTCAATGTTCCATTAACAGATGAGTAGGACCTTGCTGACTTCTGTTATAAGAATTTTAAGCTCTCAAATATAGAATAAATATTCATAAGGTAAAGGGACCCCTGACCATTAGGTCCAGTTGTGGCCGACTCTGGGGTGGTGGTGCTCATCTCGCTTTATTGGCCGAGGGAGCCGGCGTACAGCTTCCGGGTCATGTGGCCAACATGACTAAGCCGCTTCTGGCGAACCGGAGCAGCGCACGGAAATGCCGTTTACCTTCCCGCCGGAGCGGTACCTATTTATCTACTTGCACTTTGACGTGCTTTCGAACTGCTAGGTTGGCAGGAGCAGGGACCGAGCAACGGGAGCTCACCCCGTCGCGGGGATTCGAACCGCCGACCTTTTGATCGGCAAGTCCTAGGCTCTGTGGTTTAACCCACAGCACCACCCACATCATAAATGCACACATAACAAAATGCATCTCTGGGTTATTTGTGGGGCATAGGAATTCATTCTTTTTCTCTTTCTTCAAAATATAGTCCAACCCACCACATGGTCTGAGGGATGGTGGACTGGCCCATGGCTGGAAAAGGTTGTTGACCCCTGGCATAGACCCTCATTTTTAAAGGGAACAGGGAGATAAGGCTTCTCCAAAAATGTTAGAATGCCACAAGTATGTGTCCTGGCCAGGCCTGCGTCCCTTACAGAGATTTTCATAGGAAACAGATGTTTCCCTTCAAACAGGATAGGTGGACCTCTAAGATGAGCAACTCATCCCTTGAGCACAAGACTGCTGCAGAAAATGCTTTTAAATGTCTTTAAACCTGCCCAAAGTGCTTTGAAACAGTTTTAAAATACACATGGAGCCATACTGTAAAACCACCACCCCAGCCTGACTCCTCAAAACAGACCCTACCTAACAAAGGGAACATCTGACACCAAGGTTATAAGATATCTCTCATGTTGATGCTACTAAAGTGAAATATACCTCTTCGTCTACATAATGAAGTGATTTGTTGCGACTGGGGAAGCTCCATCATGTCAGTGTGCTATAATGAATTTATTGCATTGGCTCAGACTTCACTAGATAAGTCTATCATGTGCCGAGCTGGGAAAGCGTTGAGATAACACAAAGTCGGAATTTCCCGTTGTTCCCTTTTCAAATAAATCATTCCATAAACAGCCAATAGTGCTGATTACGCCTCGCCTCGCCGGGTTCCTCTTGCTGAGATGATCTAATTTGTGCAACTTTGCAAATTGATGAACTCGGCTCCTGTTCCCAACGCATCAGAAAAATAATTTATGTGAGCGGCAAGGTGTCTGCTGCTGTCTCACAAAGGCATCAGCTGCGTGGGTGGGGATCGGGACGGTTCGACACCAAAGCGTCTGCTTTAGGGCTGAGCCATAGGCAGCTGTCCCAAGGGAAATGGAAGCCAGGAACCAGGAGCCCTAAGATGAGCTGGGCGGTGGCAGCAAAGGGCGGAAGAGCAACCAAGGACAACTCAGCTACTGCTGCAGCTGAGCAGTAGAGCATTGGCTTTGCATGCAGAAAGTCTCAGGCTCAGTCCTCAGCATCTCCTGGAAATCGGCTGCCAGTCAGTGCAAACAATTCTGAGTTCATTGGACTCCGTAAAAGGCAGCTTCCTATGAACCAGGAAAATCCAGGTAGAACTCGGCCAAATTTTACTCAAGGTAGACCCACTGAAATTAATGGACCTAAGTTAGGCCACATCTGCACAACAACTTTATGTACTGTATTTTTTGCTCTATAAGACGCACCAGACCATAAGACGCACCTAGGAGGAGGAAAACAAGAAAAAAAATATTCTGAATCCCAGAAGCCAGAACAACGAGAGGGATCGCTGCGCAGTGCTCCCTCTCGCTGTTCTGGCTTCTGGGATAGCTGCGCAGCCTGCATTCGCTCCATAAGACACACACACATTTCCCCTTACTTTTTAGGAGGGAAAAAGTGTGTCTTATAGAGCGAAAAATACGGTAATTCACATGTGTAATTCAAAGCCAAAGCAATAGGTAAAGGTAAAGGTACCCCTGACCATTAGGTCCAGTCGCAGACGACTCTGGGGTTTCGGCGCTCATCTCGCTCTATAGGCCGAGGGAGCCGGCGTTTGTCCGCAGATAGCTTCCGGTTCATGTGCCCAGCATGACTAAGCTGCTTCTGGCAAACCAGAGCAGTGCACGGAAGTGCCGCTTACCTTCCCGCTGGAGCAGTACCTATTTATCTACTTGCACTTTGACATGCTTTTGAACTGCTAGGTGGGCAGGAGCAGGGACCGAACAACGGGAGCTCACCCCGTCGCGGGGATTCGAACCGCCAACCTTCTAATCAGCAAGCCCTAGGCTCTGTGGGTTAGACCACAGCGCCACCCACTGAAATTAATTAATTAATTAATTAATTAATTAATGGACCTAAGTTATGGACCACATCTGCACAACATCTTTATGTAATTCACATGTGTAATTCAAAGCCAAAGCAATACTAAACCATAAAATTACATTTTACTGGTTACATTTTATCCTGCCTCTTATCTCAGTTATCTGGTGTTGTTGTTGTTGTTTTTTAAAAAAATCCAAATTACACAATGCACACTAATTTATATATACAGTGGTACCTTGGGATATAAGTGCTTCAGGTTACAAACGCTTCAGGTTACAGACTTGGCTAATCCAGAAATAGTACCTCGGGTTAAGAACTTTGCTTCAGGATGAGAACAGAAATCACGCGGCGGTGGTGCAGCGGCAACGGGAGGCCCCATTAGCTCAAGTGGTACCTCAGGTTAAGAACAGTTTCAGGTTAAGAACAGACCTCCAGAACAAATTAAGGTGGGTGGGTGTGATTGCTTAGTGGTTATTGGTTATTGGTTTGCTTTGTTCTTTTTTATTTTGTGCTCTTATGCTGCAAACAGCCCTGAGATCTTCAGATGAATAATAATATAATATTGTGTGTGAAAAACAAATCCAGTATGTATAACTCAGAAGAACGTAACAGTAATAAAACATAGAATTATTGCAACACACGACAGGATCTGATTTCCTTGCATTATTTCACCCCCTCCTTCCATGCCTTAAAAATAATATCTATTGTCAGATTATTGGGGGGGGGGGGAATGAAAACAAAATCTCATTTTACGAGGTGGACCCTGCTCTGCTGCTGCCCTGAGCGCATACTTAGCCTGCCTGATCCAGCAATGATCAGGCAATTTATTTACCACCAATTGTGTGATACCACCAATTTATTTATTTATTGGTGCTACAGAGCAGAAATGCTTCTCCAGATGGAGATAATGTGATCATGTTTGGGAAGTGCTGCAGAATGATTCATAAATCCAGATGGTGGCTGGATGGTTCAGCCTAAATTTGCCACTTGTGAACTATTATGGTTTCAGTGGCATGTTACTTGCATGTAAAAAATGTCCCTATCTGGAAGGGCCCAGAAACTCATGGATAGGATATGTGACTTTTAAAGAGGGTGTTCACATTGCAAGTTTTGTGTTGGCTTACTCTGTGTAGCACTGCCACCTGGCAGCAACTCACAAGTTAGCAGGTCAAACACCGGCCCTCAAAAGCAGAAGAAAATGCATTTTTTTAAAAAAAAATCTGTTATAAGCTGTGTTTAGCGACATATTGGGAAAATCAGGAACAGAGTTGTGCAGACGACAATCCCACACTGTCATATGATTTAGAATCATAGACTGCTAGAGCAGGAGAGGGTCTTGTATGTCATCTGAACCAGATTCTTGGCTAGCCCCCTCTCTGGACTCAGCTACATTAGTAAAGAAACAGAAATTTGAATGCGCTATAATCATGCAACACCCATAAACCTGGTACCCATAACCTGAAGCCCCATAACCTGAAGCCCCATAACCCTGGTACCCATAACCTGGGCACCCATAACTTGGGGCCCAAGTCAGCTCCTCTGCAAGTGACTGTGGAGG